AGAAATTCACATTTCAAAAAAAAACCCACCTACGTTAACTTTACTGTACAGTACTATGCTCTCTGCTCCTGCCCCTTGGCTTGGGGCTCACTGACCTCCTAGCCCCCACCAAAACCTCCCCTAAAATACAACACTTCCAAGTGAAAGCAGAACAGAGGGGTGGAGAAACAGGAGAACTTTGCCCCCTCTGCAAATCTGCCCTGCTCAGTCCGTGTCCCTGTCCAGCCCCCACTTTCTCGTCTCCCCCTTCTTCCTTTCCATTCAGCCAGGCCCCCATGTGGCTGGCCCCAGCCCCAATGTGTTCTTCCTCCTGCTCTCATTTCTCAGTCCCTGGCTCCCACGTGTCCTTGAACCGTGTGCCGGACCCCTCCCTCCATGAGCTAGTAGCTACTTTCCTGCCTCCCTCCCTTCCCCACGTCTGGAGCAAATTCATATTACGTAAGAATCACTTTACGTAGAGATCTGCAGAATTGTTCACTTGTGCTAGACGGTGAGTTTGGGGAACTGAGTTCTCCTATACTCTGGGAATCTGCCTTTATGCTTCAGGCCCCTCACATAGATAAGTAAGACAATCATTACACAGGAGACATGTATTTGTGAATAACAACGGAAGAAAATAAGAATTTGAAATATTCTAACAGCCCATTACAAGAGCATATTCAGAAAGTATATCTAGCCAGGCACCAATACAGTTTACTTCTTGTCTTTAACACTTTGTTATCCTTCAGTGGGAAAAAATTCACTCTGAAATAGTCTTCATTTTACACTTCTGCCCACTTGTAATAATAATGATGTTCTTGTTTGTCCTTAGTTTTTGAAGAGGACCAATGACATCACTGGTGATGTCTTGACTTGGGTGTGAATTGTATTTAAGTGAGGCAGAGCTGCATAAAGTCATCAGCCTCATACTCTTCTCCAGTCATTGAAGTTCAGTGGCAAGACAAAAGTCAGGACAATTGATGATGGCCTGGGATGCAGTGGATGACCTTGGTGTTTTCAATGTTTGACCAAGCCCTAAGCACTCCACAGCGTCTACTTCAGCCACCATCATGATCATTGGAACAAAATGTTCTCATCCATTCATTCCTCCAGGGAAAAACTTCACATTTTTGGGGGTCAATATCCCCTTAACTCATTGACAGGTTTGGGGCCTGTTGGTTACCCTATACTGAGGTGCAGCTGCTGGGCATGCTACAACTTCCTGGAGCCACAGGTGAAAGTTGGGTAAATCAGGTGGACACTAAAAGTGGAGAAGCAGCCCTGAAAAGGACTGTAAGTCCTCACACCAGAGCCTGAACACTCCATATACCCCAATAATAACGATAGCTAGCATTCATATAGAACTTTAAGGTTTGCAAAGTACTTAATGTGTTATCTCACTTGGTCAATCAATCAATAAACATTTATTAAGTGCCTATTATGTGTCAAGTGCTATGCTAAGCATAAGGGATACATATATATACACATATACACACACACACACACACACACATATCTCTATATTTGATACATATCTTTACATATAAATCTTTATATAATATATATAAACAATTTCATATATATATAAAATATATAAAAAGATATAAAAAGAGTCCCTGACCTCAAGGAGCTTACAATATAATAGGGAAGACAATATGCAAACAAATGTAAACAAAGAAAGCTATACATAGGATAAATAGGAAATTATTAACAGATGGAAGGCATAAGAATTAAGAGGGGTTGGGGAATAACTGAGGTAGATACATCTGATTTGATTGAGCTCCTGTTTCCATATTTGTCTTCTTATCAAGAATTTTCGACGTGATCACTTCTCTTGGTGCATATGCCACAAATGTGGTGAATTATCTGTGGGAGGCAGCTGAAAAAGTTGTGGTTGGCACTCAGAAGTGGAAGGTAGGAAAGAGCAGAGAAAGCAATGAAGCAGAGAGAGAAGTAGCAAAGGCAGAAGAGAAAGGGACGATCAAGTAGTGGGTAGAAAAAGAGAAAGCAACAGATAAGCCTGAGAAAGTAGAAGGTTACATACAAGGAAGGAGTAAAATGCAATAGGGGAAGAAAAGGGAGTAGGCAGGGGAAGAGTAAAAACATGGAAAAGAAAAATTAAATCATATCACAAACACAATAACCTGATTGCCACAAGTTTGCTAAGCATGAAAATCCTACTATGGATCACTGTTTCAGACTGATTTACATTAAGCTGCCAAATAAACATCATTTACTAGCCTACCAGATAAACTAAGTAAGGATTAGTCTCAAATTTTAGTTCCCTTCAGTATGCTAAACTCCTGAAACCTTGGCAATATACTGCAGGACTTCTGGACAGCTCTGGGACCCAACAATCCTGGGCCCTGCTTGTGTTCAGTTTGAGGTGGAACTTTAGGATGCATTCTATTCTTCCTTCCCTTCAGTTCAATATGGTGAGGTCCTTTTGGGTGAGTGATGCCTTTGGAATACCACATGGCTGCCTAGAGCCTAGGTAGGCCATGCAGAGATTCAAAATGCTCTAATCACCTCTCTTCATCTGTGTAACTCCTCCTACCCACTGACATATTCTCCATGGACTTATTCCCCAGTGGTTAGCATACTCCTCATCTGCTTATTCTTCTCTAGTGAAGTCAAACATTTCAACCTTTGGAGTCCAATTTCTCATTCCTATCTACTTCAACCCTAACATCGTCCTCGTATTCTGTGCATCACTTCCACTGTGCTCTATGGAATGCCTGTTCTATAATCAACAAACTTCCTTTCATTTTACATTTCTTCCTCTCATATTCCTTCCATCTTCCAGCACTCACTGAAAACTGGCTTGCACCAGATGACTGACACATCTGTGGCCATTCTTTGCAATACTGGTTGTATCCTCCCTCTTACCTGATACCCACTCCTCATTGATCCTAGTATAAGGATGAAAATACTCCTTGCTCTCTGTCACCACTTCCAGATTCTTCCTTTAATGTCAACACTCATCAACTCCTCCTTCCTTTGAGGTTCACTCAGGATCCTGGTAGCCCATTATAAACCCAAGACATTCTTCCTCCTTTCTCAATGAATCCAATGCCTGCCTCAAAATCTTTTCTACCCAACTCCTGTCCACAAACTAAAGGGCTTCAATATATCTGATGTTCTCTCAAATGCTCTAATTTTTTAGTTCCTCAATCTACTTAACATCTATGGCTCACTCTTTATTCTACATCAGTTACACAAAGTGTGATGGCCATACCCTTGATCTTGCCATTGCCTAGAAGTGTTCTAGAACTCTAGAATTCCCTTAACCAATTATAATCTTTCATCATTTCACTTCTCCCTATGCCTTATTCCTTCCTAAGTCTATCCTTTATCCTCACCATGACTTCCAATCCTTCCATCCCTCCATACTTTCCCAGGACATCATTCTGTTCTGTCTACAAACTTTTCTAATCTCAACCCCTTACAAAACCAGTTTAACTCCATACTATATTCTTTCCCTTGCTCCTGTGTCCTATGACCATCAAATTTTGTTAAACTCCAATCTTGCCTCTTCTTCCTCTATACTAATTTGCCTACCTTATCAGTTCCCATGGGTTCAGTTATCATTCCTATACATATGAATTCCAGATCTATATATGCAGTTCTAGTCTCTCTCTAGAAGTTCAATCCCACATCACCAACTACATATTGAACAAATTCCCACCAGATACCCTGTAAGCACTGAAAACTCAATGTGTCCAGAAAAGAAAGTATCTTTCTTCCCAAGCCCATTCCTCTTCCTAACTTCTCTATTATCATTAAGGTCACCACCATCCTTCCAATTACCCAGGTTTACAACTCTGGTGTCATCCTTGACCTCTCACTCCCATTCATCCTACTCATCCAATCAGTTGCCAAATCTTGTTTTTCTTCAGGTCTTTCATATAGCTACTACACTAGTTCATGCCCTTACCAGCTCTTATCTGGTTACTGCAGGTAACAGAATTGGTCTTCCTGATGGTGAAGAATTGGAAATATATCTTCAGATACAGCTCATATGGGAACTTATTTTGTCTGGCTATGAACATTTGTTAGAAGGGTTTTGCTTTCAATTTTTTTTTTCAGTGGGGGAAGTAGGAGAGGGGTAAGTTGGTGATAGGATTAGCAAATTTTTTTAAAAAGGAACTCATTGAAGCATTTTTTTAAATGTACAGAAGGGATAGAGGAAATATAGCTTTGAAAGTTACATGTTTATTATATACATAAAAGGAAAAGCAAGCTATATATAAAAGATTTACAGTTTCACATATAATCCTTTTTTCTAAGATCTAAGTTAAATATAGAAATTTTAATTTTATTTGGCTAAGTTTAAAATTTTTTTAAAAAATTGGTCCCTCTGCCTCATGTCTTCTACCACTCTAATCCACCCTCCACACAATCACAAACATACATTTCCTTCAGCCTCAGCTGACCACGTCCCCCACTACCCCAACATAACTCTCATAACTCTAGGAGCTCCCTTTCATCTAGAAGATCAAACAGAAACTCCTTAGTTTGGCATTCTGAGTTCTTCTCAACTTGACCGCTTTCTGCTTTTCTGCCCTCAGCACACATTACTTCTCTACATCCAGCCATAACAACTCACTTGCTGTTGTTCAGACATGACACTCCATCTTCCACATATGACTTTGCAGTGGCCATACTCCATGCCTGGAGCTCTCCTTGTTCACCTCTATGCCCAGGTTTCCTTCAAGATCTAGCTCATATGCTGCAGGTCTGCAAGAGGCCTTTTCCAGTCACCTCAACTACTATTCCCTTCCCTTTTAAGGTTACCTTGTACCTACTTGATATGTTTTTTGCATATACTGATATATGCATGTATTATCTCCCCCATGAGGATGTAACTTCCTTGAGGGAAGGGACTGTTTCACTTGTGTTTTTGTATCTGGATCACTTAGTAGAGTGTCTACACATAGTAGGTGATTACAAATAAATGTTTATTGATAGACTGAAATATCAGACTATCATTTCTACTACAAATTTTCACACAAACTCTCTTTGCTACTTATATTTCAATTTATTTTCATTTTTACTTGGTAAGTACTGTATAAGGGGTATTTCATTTTCAGTTAAGCCTTGCACATGACTGATATTTAAATGCTTTATTATTTTACCAAGAGGGAAAGATCTAATTAATATCTAACTTAGATCTTTCCAAGGTCACAAAATGTTATGTCTTCCCTCCCTGCCACCCTCACCAAAAAAAAAAAAAGATACAGTTAGCTTCCTACATGAAGGATCCATGTGTAACAAATAAGACTTCAACTGATGAAAGCAAAATGTGGAGTATACATATAGTCCACATATAACAACTGGTCTCATTAACGTGCTTTAGGGACTGGTTATAGGAGGAGATTTTTAAATGTCAATGTATGAATTAAAGACTGAACACTGGTTCATTCAGCAAATGATGACTTATGACAGTGCAGTTACATTCTCATCACCTAAGCTTTCAGATAATTCCAGTGTTGCCTCAAACATAGAACGCTTAATAACCCACTTTTATAACTTGCTGGCCAAGCAGAGTTTAATGCTTAGATGTCAATGTGAGAGTGGATGATACTCGGAAGATCTGCGGGAGCATGTTACTCAACTGGTAGAACATTTCTTCAGAAATACTCTGTAAAAAGTAAGGAAAAAGCCTTCACATCTGTTATAAGACCATAGCTTTAAAAATTAAACCACTGAGTAATTTGACATTTGCAAAATTTTCCATATAAGCTAAATCATTTAGATAATTATCTTTCAATAATGGCTTTAAAATATGCTGAAATATTTGTTTGAAAATAAATGTTGTGACATTTACTATCAATAGATATGGTACTGTAAGGTAATTGCTAAAGAGGCTATTTAATGAGTAGTATCAGTACTAAATATGTGCCAAAGTCAAAGAGAAAACTAAAATAGAAAATCACACACAATAGAAAGGCATATGAAGTGATATAGCGTGAAATAATAAGCAGAACCAGGAAAACAATACACATAATGACAATGAGGTAAATGGAAAAAATAAAAAACCTGACACTGAACACTGTATCAATAATAATAACCAAGTCTGTCCAAGAAAAGATGAAAAAATGCACCTCCTTCCCCCTTCTTTTCAGAGGTGGGAGACTAGAAGAATGGAATATTATATAATCTGTCATTTTTAAGTGGTATATTAGTGAAGTTTGTTGAACTGCTTCCCCTCCCCTTCTTTCTTTTAAAATCTTTATTACAAGGGAAGATTGGCTAAGCAGGAGAGAAGAAAACTATTTATTTGGAAATGAAGGTATAAAAACCAAAAATATGAATAAAAATTAAGAACTTTTTGAAAGAAAAAATTATGCTTAAGTGTGAGACTGATTCTGGGTTCTCTTAAATCATTTTTCTGCATTCAAATACTCCTTCTATTAAAGAAATGGAAGCAACTAAGAGTACGCCTAGTTATAGCTAACGTGTGTTTTATCAGAGCAACAGACTTAGAGTAGGGTCATACTGACTTGATTAACATACCTGTGGTACCAGGAATTGTACAGTCCTAGAAATCCCTCCATCCCATGAAGCCATTTCCATCATGAAACCTGACAATAAAAGAAGTGGAAGCTTAGCTAAACTATGAACACTGGTCTTTCCAATCTACTGCTCAAGTACAGTGGGGGCAGAGGTGGATATTTCAAGCTCTTTGTGAGGCATCATCTCTCCTCAGCTTTCTGAGTAGCCATCTGCCTGATGAAATCACCAAGTCTCAGGGCCAGACGCAAGCTTTTCTTAGTCTCCCCAGTTCCTTTTGTCATTCTGAAGCAGCAATAGTTAAGTACCATTCTGACAATACACTCCTCTCCTTTGTTTTCCCTCAACTCTGCTAAAGCTTCATAACATTGTTCGCCAAACCGGGTTCTATGAAACCTTGATGTTTCATGCCACAGGAATAGGAGTTACAGGAGAAAATTTCAATACTTGCAATAATTTTCACTTTAAAATATTAACTAATGTATGTTTAAATCCACTTACTATGTGTTGAAATTTTTCAATATGAAAATAGTTTTTTAAGTTAGCTCCAAAATTTGCTCAGTCCTTGATCCCGTAGGGTCCCCTGAACCAGCAATTATCACTACTGTCAATACATGTCAATCCCCAAAGTATCTGTGGCCAACTTCTTTTAGGAAATGCTCTTCTCAAAAACGCTAGTTACTAAAGACTTCCTGAGAGCTAATTTAACGATGTGTGGCTGGGTTTGCCGAGTGAATGTTCAAGGAGAAGCAGTACATGACATAATAGAAAGCGCTCCGGACTAGAAGTGAGAAGAGCTGAGTCTAGTTCCAGTCACCATTTATTAGAAGCCCATGACCTCTCTGAGACTCAATCCCTCGTCTCTAAGAAGGAAATGACATTATCTACTTTGCCAGGTAAATACAAATGTGAGGCGACTCATCATGATCAATATTCACAATAATAAAAGGCAGAGGTGGACAAGAATCAGAGAAAGGTGTAAAGGATGTATCAGAGAACAGCTAAAGAAGCTGTTATGCTTTATGACTGTCAAAGGGACAAAGTGGTCCTTCCCAAAATGTTTGTAAGCTAGGCCACACAGTAGGTTGTGGCTGAAGCTTTCAACACTCAACACTCTTTTTGGGTTGGTCTTTTTGCCAACAATTTATAAAGACAAACAGTTGGTCATGTGGGCTTTCTTTATGAAATACTAACCTTTTACACATTTAAATACAAGTTCTGCTCTCCTTAAGCACCATGGTATAGTCATTTCCTGAAAACAAAACAAAAATAAAAAGTTTCATCAGTAGTGTTTATTATTTTCCTACTGCTGTGCTTTGCTTTTACATCATATTCATTTTCAAGCATAACCTTCTCCTTATTCCCTTACCAATAACTTTCCCCTGCAACAAAGTTCAAGAGAAAAAAAAACATTCCAGCAAAAACCTATCAACATATTTGACAGTTATAGTCAATATTCACCATGATCTATTAAAAACTGAATCAACATTTGATTATCCTGGTGTAGATCAGATCATCCTCGTTACCCACCACATTCATATCCTACTTCTGCTGTGGTGGTGTGAGGTGCTGCAGCATGTAAGAGGCCTGGCACCTAAAGGTCTCAGTTGACCCCTTCAGGTTCCAGGCTATCACTGTGTATGGCCAGGGTTTCCTCACCTTTTCACCTGCTGTTCATCAATATCTAAGGGACTTATCATTAAGTACTACTGGAACATATACAGTTAGATAAGGGGGAGCCTTCTTCTCCAAACCCCAGCATGACACTGCTACCTTCCAGTCCAGTCGCCTTGGAGATGCTGTATCTTTGACATTCTGGGCAAGGTTTAGGCGAGCCTGCATTGCCATCACAAATTCTTAAGAAGATATTTCTTGTCCCTGGGTTTCAGAACATAGGTGATCCGGCTCCATTAAAAGCAGCTTTAATAATTACTTGGCAATTCTCACTGCTCTGCCTGGTCCCTTGAAGTAGATTCTACAAGATGGATTTTCCCGGCAGGTGAGGCCAGACTCCACCTTTCCCCCCCTTCACCTTCTCTCTCACCCTGAGCCTCACCCCATGATTGCTTTTCCCCAGACTAACTCGCTCTTTCTTTCTGAGCCTGATCTCCTAACTGTGTCTGTCCCTAGCTTCTGACACTGGCCAAACCAAGGAGACAGATACACTCCAAGTACAAGAAGATTATCTATGCCACTAATTTATCATATTGCTATGGATAATGAAGACTGGACTGTTTAGAATTTCTCAAAAGGCCAGAATTATTTCACGTAAATACTTTCACTAGCCCCTTCTTTTAGTTCTACTTGGTGATAAAAAGGATCTCACTGAATGTCTTTAAATGCCTTTTTCTGGATAATTCCTTTAATGGTTTTCCCCCATCCTTCACTACTTTTTCCTTTTTTTCAGATATTTTGAAAATTAAATGTCATTTAATTCTCAAATTGATAGTTACTTTGATACCTTGAAAAATCCATGGTTTTATTGATATGGATACTTATTCCACCTAAACAGATCCTAGACCCTTTTTATAGAGCACCTAAAATATTTCCAGGATCTACCACTTTTTCATGGTTTTCACCTTATACTTTTAGTAATTCAAGGTACCAATGTACCCCCTTAGTTTAAAGTTAATACTATTCTAATTTAACCTCTAACAAATACCTCCTATATAGCATGCATACTTTAACAGGCATTATAAACTTTCCACAAGTGCACAATATACCACCTATACATAACACAGAGTCCCAAAAGTTTAATGCAGTTTTAAGTTTATTTTAAGATTATTAGCCTAAAACTGCACTAAGACTTTTGGGACATACTGTATATAGCACCTCTAAATAAGCTACATACACTGACAGTTAGAGATGTGAAATTACAATAGTATAGTGTTCCAAGGCAAATCAGTATTGCCTGAGGGAATACTATATTATCCAAAGAAACAACTGTGGAGCTTTTAAAGGAGTTACTCTGTAGAAGTTTTACCAATGTTAAGAAGTTACCATAACAAAGAGGCAAAAAGTGTCCAGAAACCACTGAGGCCAGCAAACATTTGACCTTCCTGCCAAGCAAAGACTTGTGGTTATCAAGGGCAATGCCAAGATAGGATATAAACTTTTTTGCAAAATCTTAGAGAGGAGGATGGTTTAAAATCATAGGCTAGATTGATTAATAAAACAGCTGAGAGCGGTGGAGGAAAAATGAGTCTGCAGAAAGCTTCATGTGAGACCCAAATAATCCAGGCCATTCCAAAAGTATATATAGCTGAAATTGGAAGGACAACAAACAGATCTATTATTATTTCTATAACAAATTATTTTAATCATCAATGATACTACATTTAGACTAAAGTCTTAATGCTATTTGAGGAAACAGAATTGGCACTAAAAGATATCAAGACAGGAAGAGTAGCTGGATCAGATTGAGGACATACAGAAGAAATCCATGCTGGATTTGACAGTATTGAGAGCACTGAAGAATTAATTTTCAAGAGGGGAAGATATTCACGGACAGAAAAAAAATGGATATAATTACCCTAATAGAAAGATGATTATTAACTAACAACCCATGTCTACTTCCTAATCTCTAGAAAGGCTTTATGAGAAAGATGATACAATAAGAATCTTTGATGAAAATACAAAAAGAGAATAGGGCAGACTTTTAGAATTCTTTACAGCATACCACATCTTCAGTCAGACAACTGACTGAAAGTTGTACAGAATACCAGATTCTGATGTGTTTTTTGATTATAAGAAAGCATTTGACTTGGTACGGAAAAAAAAGCAGCCTTAAAGGATCCCCTCTAAGAAAATGTCCTGTTATATATGTTAAACAATCATAGCATCACAGAGTTGAAAGGAACCTCAGAGCCCACCTACTCCCACCTATACCTGAAGCTGAATCTCCTCTATAATTGACCAAATGAGTGATTATTCAGCCTCTGAAGAACACTAATGAAAGAGAATGTGCCACCTCTTGACACAGCCCACCTAAGTTTTTTCTTACATCAAGTCTAAACATGCTTTCTTTGCAAATTTTACCTACTGGTCCTAGTTATATCCTCTGACCCCAGCAGAAAAAAGTTTAATCTCTTTCTAGATGACAATCCTTCAATACTTGAAGACACGTACTATATCCCCCTAAGTCTTCTCTTCTTCAGGCTAAGCATCACCAGTCTCTTCAAGCAGTCTTCACGTGATATAATCTCAAGGTTCTACATTATTCCTGTTGTTCTCCTATATACAGGAGCTCTCTAGCTTACCAATTTTTCATGAAATGTGGTGCCCAGAATTGAATGCGTTACTCCAAATGAAGTCTGACCAGGACAGATCACGGAGGGATTATTGCCTCTACAGCTCAGAACACTGAACCTCTCTCTTTACAAAATTTTAAATCTTTTCATTGAAGAATTTGTTTCTGAGTCTCTTTCTTCTCTTCCACTGAGACATTGTTTGCAATCAAAATTTTAAGAGGACAAAAAAGCAGTTTAACAAAAATAACACATCAACTGTGTCTAAAAGTATAAACAATATAATACAACCAAAGCAATTAAAGGGGATAGTTTCATTTCCTGAACTCTTCTCTTGGACTAAGCTAGGTCATTACAATTACAAAATATTCAGTTTCACGTTTTTTCCCCCTTTCCACTTATACTATTTAGTTACCATGTATAATGTTTTCCTGGTTCTGCTTCCTTCTCCCTTCATCAGTTTATATACATCTTCCCACGCTTTTCTGAGTTCTTTACACTTGTTTCTTTGTTGTTGTTGAGCTATTCAGTCATGTCTGACTCTTCATGATCCCGTGGTCCATAACATGCCTTTCAATGGGGTTTTCTTTGCAAAGATACTGGAGTGGTTTGTGATTTCCTTTTCCAGTGGATACCTCTTATCAAAAATCTCCAACTGTCTGTCTTGGGTAACCTTGCATGGTATAGCTCATAATTTCACTGAGCTACACAAGCCCCTCTGCCATGATAAGGCAGTGATCCAGGAGAGGTTCTTGAGATTATATCACAAGAAGACTGCTTGAAGAGACTGGGGATGCTTAGCCTGAAGAAGAGAAGACTTAGGGGGATATAATACGTGTTTTCAAGTATTGAAGGATTGTCATCTAGAAAGAGATTAAACTTTTTTCTGCTGGGCTCAGAGGATATAACTAGGACCAGTAAGATTCCATTAAGTTTATGCACCACAATTTGTTTAGCAATTCTTCGCTACTATAAAAAGTGCTCTTACAAATATTTTGGTTTATATAAGGCTTTTCTTACTGCATCTCTAATAAAAGACTAAGATTGCATTAAATTTTTTTGTTGCCATAGTATATTACTGATATATATAAAGCTTGCAGTACACTAAAACTCCTAGAACTTCTTTCTTGTTTTTAAAGAATTCATTTCAATATATTTCTTTAAAATTAAGTTAAAATTTTTGATAACATTTATCTTTATATCACCTTCATTTCTAAATATATTTCCCCCATTCCTCTATTGACTCATCCCCTGAAACAAAAAATAAAAAGGAGAAAAAACAAGTGGTCAAACTAACCAACCCATGAACCAGGTCTGCCAGTTCTCTCCTGCCTTGATGTTCTTTTCCCTAAGGGACCCCTCCCCAGATGCAAGTGGGCTGCAGGATTATCTGACCTTGGCTGCACTTCATCCAAAAGAATCACTTCCATGGGACAAAGGGAAAAGCTGAAGAAGACACTACAAAATGAGGTGGGGAAAGGACAATTTTTAGCAATGGATCACTTAGCTCTTATATCACAGGCAAGAAATAAAAGAGGTAAGAAATGTTCACTGAAGTACATGTTATTCATCGACACTTTGAATGTACTTGGAGTATGGATTCTTTCCATGGCTTACTGAGCAACGCTTGATGGTCAACTGCTTCACTAGAGACCTAAGAATCAGGAGATCTGAGGATAAGGAAGAATGAGTTTGCTCTAAGTGTGTTACCTTCCTTTTCCTCTCTTTTTGGGCTGGGGGCGTTGGCAGCCACGATCCTTTGCCTCACTAGGTGAAGACCTTTCTGGACTCTCTGGGAGAGGGAAAGACCTCCTTGAGAAAGATGTAAGAGCCTACAAAGCTGAGGCCACTGCTACTAGAGCCTGCTCCAGGACTTCATGGAGGCTAGAAAAGTCTGGGGAATAGGCAGATTGGTAGGGTGTCTTGTTGTAGTAACTCTATTAAAAAAGCAAATGAGGTTAGTTTAGTGTGACTTGTTCTTAGTAAATTCACGTTGACTCCTGCTGATCACTGATTTCTCTTCTAAGTGCTCAGCTTCTAAGCTCTTAAACACGTCTTTTAGAATTTTTACCAGGGACAAATGTCAGATTCACTGATCTATACAGTCTGTGGAATCCATGTTTTTCTCCTTTTGGAAAACTGGGATATTTGCCTATTTCAAGTCTCCTGGAACTTTTTTCAGGTCAGACTTCATTTAAAATAGCTGCAAAGGCTGACACATTTAGATTGGGAAGTGAATCTGAGAGCCATCTAGTCCAAACCCTTTCATTTCTGGCATGGAATCAAATCAAGGTCCACAGAGGTTAAATGATGTGCCCAAGACCACAGAACAACAGAGGCAGGATCGGACCCCAAATCCTCTGATTTTATCTCCAGTACCCTTTCTACAATATGATGGCTACATCTTGCTATTTGTCCTTATGTGTACTGGGCTTCAATTTCTTCTTAATCATGTTTGTTTTACTAATGTCTGTGGGAAAGAAAACAGACACAAAATGACATTAACTGGGTAAATGTCAGACCTTGTAAAGAGACTGGGGAATCAGGCTTTGTTAGCATGTTGCAGGTGCCTGGCGTACACAGTTTGTGGACTTCAAGCATGTCGATTTCAGCTTTAAAACTTTACTTACAATCCTAATTATTAGGGCAACTTCTTAATGTGCATAATTTAGACTACTTTCTGCTACCCAAATTGGCTCTTTTGATTAAAGTTGGATCTTCATGGGAAAAAAGGTATGAATATACAAGTGATTTTAGTGTTTCACAGTACAGTGCACAAATTGGACATTCCAATGATTCTCTTAGTGGGTGATTCAAAATGTGGTTAGCCGAGGTAGGGGCATTCTGCTGCTGGCTTGCATTCCTTGAGCATGTCTTGCTAAGCTCCTTGAAACACTGTTACCATGAAATCTCACAACCATGTTGTGAGGTGGTGGTCATGACTACTTCCTAGCTTTACAGAGATGATTCTCAGATCTGTTTGTTTAGCCTGAAATTTTCTCTCGCCTTTCCAAATATTTTGAACTGGATAATTCACTACATTCAAAACTGAACTGATTATCTTTCCTCCCAAACCCTCCCCTCTTCCTAACTTCCTTATTGGTGTTGAGGGTACAACAAACCTCCTAATCACCCAGACTCAAAATCTAGGTGTCATCTTCGAATCTGTTTCCAAGTGCTATAGACTGTACCTTTGTATCCTCAGCACTTAGTAAAATGCCTGGTTCATAGCAGGCACTTAATAAACCCTTGGTGACCGAGTGGACACTGGAGAGACCAAAATTACTCAGCTACTTAATGATAACCATGGAGGGAGGGTGGGTAGAGTAACTGGACCTCAGCAGTCTTGAATCCTAATTCCATCTCCTATCTTCTATGAATTCAAGGCTGATGCCAAAGATTATATGCAACAATTCTCAGATCACAGAGTCAAAATTGATAGCCTATATTTCTTCTTGATGACCAATGTTTGTCTTGATTAAATAAATATGTATTTTCTTTCCTTTTCCTTTTTTTCTCTGCACTGCTTCTTTATTTTTGGTGCAATAAATTTCATTCAATACTTTGCCCTAAGACACAGGACATGACAGTTCACAGCTGCTGAGCTGAATCCACAGCAATAATGGATCTATATTCAGTATATACCCTTACTTTTAAGGTGGCAAAAATATGAAATTGCTATGGCTAGCAGACACAAATTATTATGATATGAAGGTAAAAATCTGGGCTTGGGCACTTCTCATCTTTGTGCACCAAGGCATTATGGCAAGTTCCTAAAATCCTGTTTATTGCATGTAAAAAAACCCAATACTTGTAAAATAGTTTAGGAGCCTTGCATAGGAAGCTGCATACAATTACCTCTATAGTCACTTTACTAATGTTTAGATTTGCAGGATAAACTTCATGACCTGGATGGGAGGTTTAAATACAACTGGAGAATCATGGCTCAATATACTTATGTGAATTAAATTGAATGCTTTGGAAACCAGTTTAATGTTCTGCAGCTGGCTGTCCTAATTTAAAACATGCAACTTTTGTAACCCATTGTGGGAGAAGGAATACTAACAGTATCAGATGTCTGGAAGTTAATCTGAACTGAGTGACTTCTGGAAACATTGTTTTTGAGGTTGTTTTCCACCTACATATGACCATTTTTATAAACTGGGTTAACCAGGACCACAGCTGCAGAAATATTTGTATGTTTCCTTGTGACAGTCATTCATCATAAACTTTCTTTGTTACTTTATTCTCTAAATACTCTTATAGATGGACGAGTGGCTCTAACTCAAAAATGGCAACAAGTTCATCAATGTGATTGAGGATTTCATTGCTGAAAGTGGGATTTCATGAAGGAAATATGGTGGAGAAAGTGGGGAGGGAGAAGGGAATGATGAAAAATAAATCTATAACCTGACCTCTCCTGATGCCTTGCTGTGTACAGTTCAGGTTACAAAAGTGACTGAAAGGGAAATTAGGTCATCTGATTAATTTTCTATAAGGAAATGTCAAAATTTTCAAAAATCTAAAGGTTAAAGTCTAGTTAAAAGATCAAAGAAACAGGAGGCACAAGTCACTTAAAATATCTTATACTGAACACTAATTGAGTACTAATAATCCTTTGCATTTATATAATAATAGTAATACTTATATAGAACTTACATTCATGATCTTATTTGAATCCCAGAGCAAACTTGTGAAGTAGGTGCTATTATCCTTACTTGATAGATAGGAAACTGAGACTAAGAGGTTAAATAAACTGTTCAGTTGTAGCACTATAAATGCCCGAGGCTGGATTCAAACTCAGGTCTTCTTGACTCTAAGTTCAATCTTTTGCAGTGGACTATCCCTAACCTAGTTGTGATCTGTTTCAAATTATGTCCTGTGTACAAACTATATAATCCTATTCTTAAACAGATCAAGCCATTTAAAAAAAAGTTACGCTTTCTCTTTTCATTATACTGTAAAATGCCACTGACATAAAATTTTCATGTTTATTTTAATGAACATATTTTCTCCTCATAATTTTCCATCTACCAAATGTAGGACTGCCCTTCTTTCCTCCCCTCCCTCTTTCTTCTCCTTTCTCCTTCCTTCCTCCCTTCTCTTCCTCCTTTCTTCCTAACTTCCTTCCACTTAAATCTAAGGGTGAAGGCCAGCATGAAGTAGTCTGATAGAAAGCTGGTCTCCAAGTCCAGAAGCCCTGGGCTGAGGTCCCACCTCTGACACAGACTAGCTCTATAACCCTGGCCGGGAAAATCACTTAAGCTCTCAATGCCCGAGTCAAGTCTCTAAGAATATAAATACTGAAGCAGCTGCCAATAGGCATTATTGACAATAGGAGTTCTTTACCAGTATGGTTCCCCCATAGTGATGAAATCATAGATCTAGACCAAAAGCACAGTGAATTACTGCTGTGGGCCCTATCCTGTTCTCCAGGATGGCAGCTAGGTCCATTATTTATCTCCAGTCTATTGTGGATTCCAACTCTTTTTGCCCTTTTCAATTTCAGGTTAGTATAGCCAGCCCTCTCAGTCCTTGCTTCAGCTTTTAGCTCTTAATTTTTTTTTTTTGTGGGGAAGAGGGGGAGAGGTTATGGGGTTGTAAGTAATGAAAGTGGATGATGGGGAGGCAGTGGGGAGAAATCTTCAGAAAATGCTCAAAATATATAATAGTGCGGAAGGGTGAATAAATGACTAGGTCACTTTTAAGATCACAATGCTATTCCAATGTAGAAAGCAGCTCTTGACAACTTGTTCATGGATTTTTGCCCTTTTCAGATATCAAGATGTCATTTCTTCCCACCACCAACTTATGTGTGTGCTGAGATTTTAATGCAAGCTAATTTGAATAAGAGGCCAAATAATTCAGAAGATAAATTTGCTGCTGCTAAACCCCCCTCTCAAAAAAAAGAAAGAAAAAAAAAGTCATGTAATCTATTTCAAAACCAAATAAAAATGATTCTAAATTATTCACCATTTTGGATTTTCTATGTCACTGTCCAACATTGTCAATAACGCAGAGTTTGTTATATATTTATACAATCACAGCAATTTTTCACCAGCTTACCTCTGACATATCATGCACCAGCAAGAGAGGAATACTAATTGTTGTGATGTCATGAGTACAGCAAACTTTTAGAATATTTCGGAGGCCCATTATGGCAGGATCACGAGCTGTGATGTTACCACATCTCACATTGTCATCCACACAGAGATGGAAAGCTACATGGATTTCAGAGAGATTGGAGTGCCGGGTAATATAAAATTCTCCTACAAACAAGAGACATCACTATATTTTCCAAATGAATAAATTACTCTCAATTACATCCAATGTAATTGTACTAACAGATATAACCAATAAGTTATGAAATGTTGTAGTTAAATCAATACTATAGAATTGTGCGAACTGTAGGTCTCTATGGGAAATCAGACAGTTATGAACTCCTAGCAACACCACTTATTCCCCAAAGAGATAAAAGATAAGAAGAAGAAAAAGACCAATAAGTAAAAACATATTCATAATGGCAAAGAACTGGAAACCCAAATGTTGTCTATTGAGTGCGGAATGGCTGAACAAATTATGGCATAAGAATATCATAGAATATTTTCATGCTATAAAAATAGACACAAAAGACAGTTTTAGAGAAACCTGGGAAGACTTATATGAAGTGATGCACAGTGAACAGAACCAGGAGAACAATTTATTACTCATTATACAACATTATAAAGACAAACAATTCTTGAAGACTTAAGAACTCTGATCAATCCAATGATCAACCACAATTCTAGAAGATTGATGATGAAGCATGCTAACTACTTCCTGATAGAGGTGATGAATGGATTCAAGGTACAGAAAGAGATAAATATTTTTGGACCTGAATTTGCTTTACTTGACTATACATATTTGTTAAAAGGGTTTTGATGTGTTTTTCTTTTTTGGGGAGACAAAAATTTTAAATTGAAAAAAAAATGACTGCTCCCTAATTCCTACACCACTACCATGGTTCACACTGGCTAGGTAGGTAAAGAAACAGTTGGCAAGAGGGGCAAAGGAGTTGGAACAATAATCATTTTCATCCTACAAACAGATTCATCACTGGCTCTGATTTGGTTAGTGAAAAAGGAATAAAATGTTCATTTTCTAAATGTGCATTAATTTTTTTTTCAGGTCCCTAGGGTTCTGCTTAGCAAGTCTACATTTCTGGCACACTAGGGTACATACGACAATCTTTAGCCCTAAACATTATCAATGGATATAAGAAATATTCAAAGGTACCACTGTTGACCTGAGACAAAGGCAAAATAGGAAGAAAAAAAGAAGACATAAAGAAAAAAAAAGGGAACAGAAGGGAATAAGAGGAAGGGGAAGGAAAAGAAGATGACAGCATCCAAGAAGACGGCATGGTGGGGAATGGTAAAGTGACATTTATAGCTTGGGTTCATTTAGTTCACTTGGACATCAGGGTGGCAGAGTCAAATAACACTTCTTTTAAAATCAGAAGGCTTAAATACAAGTCACAGGTCTAATACTTACTACTTGTGTGGCCTATGTCAAATTATTTAAACTCTCTGTGCCCTGATTTACTCATCTGCAAAATAGGAATAATAATTGCATTACTTATGTCAAGGATTGTTATGAGAAAGGCATGTTGTAAACATTACATCACTCTGACAATGTAAGTTGTTATTCAGCAGCACAGGTGACCTATTGCTGCTCTACTGGAATGATGGAGACAATGTAGTTCCTCAGTAGACTTTGTTCAGCCTTTATTATTGCATTCAAAGGACTATATTCTTTGCTAACTTACACCTGTGGGTCAAATAACGGCCAAAGTCCACCTGGGAGGCAAAATGACTTAAAAGATTCTAGAGTCACCTGCAGGGAGTGTTAGTCCCAGCACTGCTTCTGATTTGGGCAACTTAAGTAACTTTTCTATTAGCCCCATTTTCCTTTTCAGTAAAACAGGAGCAACTTATCTGTCAATATTAAGTTAAACTAAACATTGATTGGGTTCCTACTACATGCAAAGTACTGTTCAAGAGGTATGGAAGCACACATAGAAATATAAGATATTGATTATTTTCATCAATAAATTATCTTTTCAAATATAAAATCTTATAATATGAAAGCACTGTTCCCTTTGGACTGATTTATTATGAGCTAAGTTATCACTTAATGCTTTGATATTGTTTTCCAGAATTTGGACTTACAATAAAGCCCTGGTTCAAAAGCAATAACCAGCCACTTAACCTACCAGGTTTTGCCAAAAAAGGGCAAGGAGTTCAAGGAAGAAAATACTGATACAACAAAAGAGTAAAGTTAAAAACAACAAAAAAATCTCAGACGTCAGTGCCTCCGGAACAGATAACAAGACTGGCACAATTTAAGAAAGCCACAAAATATGGATGATTTTAATTATGGAGCTGATGGAAAGGAATATGATGAACCCTGTCTCAATGAATGTATTTTTAGATGGAGTGGAAGATAGTTTCCTGTTCCACAAGGTGGAGGAAACAGCATGAGATGATGTAATGCTGCTTCTAACATTATCCACCAAGGTACCAGATCTGAAGGTGGAAGGAAATTTGAAGCCTGACAACCACAAGTTAGCCAGCTGGACTGTCAAGAACAGCACAAGAAATGGATATGATGTTTACCTAATTAAAATGTAATGTGACTTACATGTATAAAAATCTATTCTTAAGATGTGACTGTAAATGAAACTAATTAACCAGGGGAAGAATGGATAGTAGGCAGGACACTGGGTCCTATTCCAAACTCTGGCACTACCTCGAAGAATCTGGGCTTCAATTACTTCATTTGTTAATAAATAAGGGGGTAGTAAGAGAGTTGAACTAGATTAGTGTTTTCTAACTAGCGAGCCACACTAAATTTTCACTAGCCTACAAAATTTATTACTAAAAGGTCTTATTAAAATCTTTTGACTTTAAAAAATTGTCTCACCCTTCCCTGTGTCTTGCTTTTCTGCCCTCACCTCTCTTCTTTCTCCTAATTCTTGGTCTCTGGCCCCTTAATCACTGAGGGTGCAAAGGGTAAACAATTGACAGTAGAGAATTTAGGCATTCTGCCTATTCTACAGGACATTTTGGACTGATGGACGCTGAACTAAATGGACTCTAGTCCCTTTCTCTAAAATTCTATGACTACCAAATTGGACATGTAATATATGACTACTGTCAAGTTTACAATTCAATTAAAAATTCTTCCAATCACAAAATGCTTTCTAAGGCCCTGCTGGTAATCTTTTACAAAAGAGAAAACTGTAGCACATTGTAGTTGAGATCAAGTGAGTTAAGCCAGGATGAGGAAGAAGAACCTCTAAATTTCCAGTTGGTAAAAGGATGAATAAACGTTTAAGAACACTACAGGAAATGAAAGAAAGGGGAAGTAAGATGATCTTTTGGGAAATGAAAATAAGACAGATTCTAAATCAGATGACCCATGTACTAGAAGTTCAATTCTCCTGTTTATATATCAGAAGGAGTAAATATTTCTTGGCTCATCTCTCTAAGAAACTAAAAAACAATGAATAAAAAGGAAATCTTAAGTTAAAAGTGACAATTCCCATACAACCAAATGACAGAACTTTCTCCTTTGGAATCAGGAGAATATCTGAGGTAGCATATTTTCCTGTGAAGTTGTTACTTAAATCAAGATATAAAAAAGATAAAAAGGCCAAATCACATTATACAAATTCAATGTTTTATTTTGACTGGTAGACGGTCCCTAAATTATAGTATAATAAAGCTATGTTTCAAATCAATGTAACTGAACATAAAAACATAAAGCAAAAATAGCACTCACCAGGCAAAATATTTGAATAGTTTCGTTCAATATTCTTAACCTTATCATCACTTTCTCCGTTCCGGTTTCCTGAATCTGTACATAAAATGGGAGAATATTATCACTACCACAGCCAATATCTTGTATTTATGTAGTCTTTTTGATTTTTAAAGAGCCTGAGACATCATACACGTGTTAAAGCTATGTAACATTTCAATGAGATATAGATGCCACAGTTATCCACATCTTTCAGAAGAAGAAACTGAGGCTCTAGAAGTGACATAACTTGCTCAAGATAACAGGAAGTATATGGTGTAGTTGGAAAGCATATTGGACTAGGGATCAGAGAATCTGGTTTGGAGTTCTAATTCTGATACCCTCTTGGGCCTCAGTTTCCTCATCTGTAAAACAAAGAGGTTGAACTTAATGAATTAACTCAACCACCTCACTTGTACACTTTCTCCTCCCTCTGGCTTCTGTGGTCTTCTCTCTTCTAGTTCTTCTATCTATTCCTTTAGTCTCCTCTATTTGGGCCTAACTCAACTTCCATTAACTGGAGATGTCCCTAAGACTGTCTGCAGCCTTCTTCTCTTTTCTTTGTACAATCTCAGGGATCTTGTCAACTCCCATAAGGTTCAAATATTATCTTCATGAAAATGATTCTCAAATCTATTTATGAAGAAAAACAAACAGCAAATACAATGGGGATTTTTTTTGTGTGTGTGTATGTGTGCCTGATGTGCGATTTCATTGGAGGAAAGAACTCTTGGAGAAGAAACTCCCTCATACTAAGGCAGATCTGTACCTTCCCAGCAAGTTATGTTCTTTGCAAGTTACCTCCGGGCAACTTCCAGAGGTTAAGAGATGTGCCCAGGGCCCCAGCAAGTACATGTCAGAAGCACGATTCGTATACCAGTATCTTCCAGAGGCTAGCTCTCTATCCATTACAATGCCTCTCCTCATTACCTTGTTAAAGCTAATATGCATAGTCATTATGTTTTTTACCAGTAAGGGTATGGTTACATGTAACTCTTTTCTTTTTTCATTTTATCTTGTTTAATCCATGGTTATTTTTTAAAGGAATTAGGATATTTGGGGGTCTTTTTGAGGGGGTGGCGAAGGGGATAGATTATTCTTATTTTCTCATCTTTAAGATCAGGAAGTTGGATCAGATAGCCCAAGATCCCCTCTAGCACTAGATCCATGATCCTATAATTTAGTCTGTCATTCATCAGTCTTGTTCATTCATATATTTGAAAATTTTTATCCATGAAGTAAAAATAAAAATCGACCACTTATCTATCTCTATTGACTCCTTCAGGGTTACCTGCAAAGATGTTCCAGTCTCCCCATTCTTAAAGCCATCTACCCTCTTTTTACACATTTTTCAACATCTTATAAAGTGGGTTCTAACCTCATCATTCCACTAAAACGGCTCCTCCCCCTAAGCTACCGATGATCTCGTGATTACCAAAGCCAAAGGCCTTTTCGCAGTTCTCAACTTTGACCTTGGAAACATTTGATATTGCTGTGCATCCCCTCCCTTTGAGATAACCTCTCTTCTTTGGGCTTTTGAGGCACTGATCTCTCCTAGTTCTTCTTCTGCTTGTTTGGTTATTCTCCTCCGTTTCCTCTGCTAAATCATTATCCACGCTCTGTGTTCTGTATATATCCTATGGCTCTCTCCTAGGCTCTCTTTTCTTACTTTTTCTCAGTGAGATCAGTGGGTTCAAGGATTATTTCTATGCAGATGACTCTCAGATGTACCTATCCAGCCCTAGTTTCTCTCCTGAGTTCTAGTCTTGCATTATCAACTGCCTACCAGTTACTTCCCACTGCATGTCCTACAGAAGTCTAAAATTTAAATGTCCAAAAAGAATTCATATCTTCCCCCAAACTCGGCCCTCTTCCCAACTTCCTTATTTCTTTTGAAGACACAACCACCAAGCCATCCCAGACACAACTTCCAAAGAGCTATTCTGAAAACATAAGTCTAACTATGTCAAATCCATTCATGAAAGTATTTTTATATAACAACATGTGGGGGTTCCTTTAGGAAAGTGGACTTTTATAACCCTACTTGTTTTACTGACTCACTCAAACCACAAAAGTAGTTGCTTGAACAAGAACAAAATAATATCATGATGTACATGCACTGCCTGTGGTTTGCAAACTTCCTGTCATTTGCAGCACATATGCTGTCTTGTCAATATAGTCAGAATTCTCCCAAACTCTTCCATGCCTGTAGAGGCCCCAGTCTTCACGTCCTTGTCATTTCTACAGCTTGAATGAGTAAAATAAGAGAAGATGGATGGAGGAAGAGGGAAGCCTGTATTAGGGCATTTCTGGAAGATTAGTGGTGAGATAAATTCTCTTCCATTTTTTTCATGTGGTCAGCTCTGTCCTGAAACATGTTTCACAGAGTGCCACAGCAAGCCATAGGACTACTTAATTAGTTTACTTTTTAGGCTCTCAGTGAATGAGAAGAATTTCAATTGATGACTGTGAATACTCAATAATATGTGAAGGTCCAGGCTGAGTAGGCTGTTAATTTGATGTGTACTATGGTAGGAATTCAACAGTCAAGTCAGAAGACTTGGATTTGAATCCTGATTCTGCTACTTAGCACCTCTGGCAAGTCATCTAACTTACAGGATTTCACAGCATTTGGAGCTCACCTAGTTCAACTGGCTCATTTTACAGATGAGGGATTTAGAGTGGGGGAAGTTAGCTACACTAACTAGGTAAACATGACCATCACTGCTCTGATTTATACTAGAAATGGAAAGGAAGAATACCCATGAAGTAAAAAGCAGAATAATTCATTTTTCCTTGTGATTTATTTAAAAAAATATAGCTATAAAGAGGACTCATATATGCTTGGAAGCAGATTCAGCAGATTAAATTTTATAATGTACCAAGTATTCTGTGTATGTACCAAGTACATATTTTTGTATGCCATAATAAATTACTGGGAGTACATACAGACAAAAGTAATTACTGCAATTCCGTGCCTAAATCATATAATACTATAACAATACATAATTATAAAAAGAAAGGCAATTTTACATGAGATGTGTGATATTCATTTATCAAAAGTATCTAAAAGTAACACTTACACTTAAATTTTTAGCCAAAAAAGGAGGTTTGTATCTACTCTGGCATGAATTTATGTGTCTAATTTAAGAAGATGTAAAGAAATATGAGGAGACTTTGAAAAAAATGATGTTAAATAAACAAAACAGAATGAAAAGAACAATATACACAATTATTACAACCATATAAAAAAAAACTAAGTGGCAACAGAATAGTTAAAAAACACTGCACAAAACTGGTACTAACTTATGAAACACACATCTTTTCTTTCTTTTAACAAACAAAAAAGCAAATAAAGAGTAAAATTGCAAGTACTGCCTAACAGTTGTAACTGCTCTTTAATCCTGTTTTGCTTAACTATATGGGGGCATTTTATGTTGTGGATAATTGCATTGCAAGCAAACTTTGCATGATCTATGAAAACAAACTACATTACTTTTTAAAAGATTTTTTTTTAAATTGAGGGCTTTTTTAATCCAAAGAAGAGCAAAGTAAAGGACTCTGGAATTTGATCAGAGTTTTCTCTTAAACCAATATTTACCAATATTTTGTGATTATAGCAAACCTAAGAAGAAAGGACAAAAAACTCATTTATTCAATGAAAAGCATTTATTTCCTGGTCCTTTTCCCCCCCCTAATATTACTTACAAAGTGCTCAGAAAATAAGTTGTAAAGACACTTGTTTTGAGGACAGAGATTAAAACAATAACAACAAAAAAGAGCTCAAGGAAACAACAAGTAATTAGCACAACCAGGAACTTACTGTACTGCTTTAAAGGATTCTATTAAACACTAAATAGAGGGAAAAAAGGAAATGAACTAATGTTACCTTCATGCTTTTTAAATGTGTGAAAGGGAGAAAATGATTTTTTTAAAAAAATTAGAGCGTTCCCTTCCACTTGTGGATCTGAAATAGCACACACAATACAAACACAAATAAGAAAAATCTTACAGCAAAATTACATATATTTTATAGTTGAAAAACTAAGATAGAGAAGCAACAGCCTTTGTTTAATGTCCACTTTGTTCACAGTATTATGCTAACTCTAAAACAAATTTACAAAGCTTGAGACCAAAAAAAAAACCCAAACAGAATTCACGTGTCAGAACACTCAAGATACAAAACTAATAAGTGTTCTATGTCTCATCACTATTAATCACCATACCATTCAAGGCATGGTGACCCAGTGCTACTGTTGAGTTGGGTTAAGAATAAAACATATTTTGAAAGAAATATGAAGAAAATCTCTACATTAGAATTCACCAGGCACGATATAGCTTGACAATGTATGGTTAAATGTGGTGTTACTAATGATCAATGAGAATAAATGAAATTTAAATTTTTTGGTGGGCCTTAAAAAAGTACAATTTCTTTGTTTTACTGACCATTTGGTTCTTTCAATTTACTTTTGCGTTGGGTTCGAGCATAAAGTACCACCTGCTGGACAATTTCTAACTGCTCTTCAATCCGAGGAAAATGGAAGTCAGTGCATTCTTGACAAACTGTGGCAAAATCTAAGAGACACAAAAATTTACACATAAACTTCAAAATTAGTTGTTGAATCTTGGGCTTTTACTTATGGACCAGGAATTCTAGCACACACACATATAAATAAAAGATTTATAATCCATCTCTCTTACTTCCATCTTCAATTAACATATAAAATTAAGTACTTCAAAAATCTGGTATTTTGACTTCTGACCAAGATGGCTGCTTTAATGGAGGTAGACAGTACAAATCCCACATATCTACTCTAACAAAAACTTGAAATTAGCATTAGTCCAAATAATGATCAAGAAATCCAATGAGAAATTATAGTAACTTCTTCCACCACACATACTCCTCTAAACTTCAAGGTGGTCATCTGGACTTGAAAACAGGCAAAGAATATCTGTACATGCTTCCAGTTCTGGTCCCCTCAGGCTAAAACACTCTCATGACACTTTAAACTGTGACGTCGGTGCTATTATTATCCCCATGTTATAGTTGAGGAAAACTGAGGCAAAAAGAATTTAAGTGACTTGCCCAGGGCCACACAGGTAGGCTAGATTTGAATTCAAGTCTTCCTGACTCTGGGCCCAGTGCTCTGTGTATTGTGTCACCAGTTGTCTCAAATGGAATAGAGGACTTTTGAGCATTTCTAATCAAAAGATTGGAGCTGAGCAAGAACTGCGAAATGCAAACAAGACTCAAGAGAAATCTAGGGAAGATAAATTTGAGGAATTTGAAGAGCCATTATGATGATGCAGCATTAATATTTTAAATAGGAGGAGAAAAGACAAGTGCCCCCTCAAAACCTCAATGCCTCCAAAGGATACTGAGGGAATTAAATAAGAAAACAGAACGCCAGGGGTGGATTGGTTCTGTTCTGAGAGTTTTAAGAGGGGAAAGAGAAGGAAAAGTAAAAGGAATACAGTGGTATAGAAAGGAGGAAAAAAGGAGAAGAACTTTCTATTTATAACTGGGATGCATAAGAAAAAGAGCATATAAACATGGAGGAGGGAGAAAGGGGGGTAGGCAGATGAACTTCACTCTTATTTGAAAAAGACAAAAGAGTTGAACACACGAACACACACACAGAATATATATAACAAACTTCATAAGGAAACAAGCAAGGACAGAGGTGGAGTTAAGAGGGAGGATAATACCAGGAAGGAAATATTTAAAAAGATGATGGAAGTGAGACTCAAATAAAGAGCTATGAGAAGACATCCCCAACCTAATACTTTATGGAGGTGAGAGGTCCACAGGTGCTATACATTGCACATGTTTTGGACTTTTTCAAAGCATTGATGAGCTGTGTTAACTTTCTCACCTCTTTCCAAAAGATACTATTTCTTATATGGGATGGCTCTCTGGAAGAACAAAGGGGAGGGATATATGGGATACTATGGTGATGTAAGAAGCAGAAAATATCAGTAAAAACTCACTTAAAAAAGAAAAAGAAAAAGAAAAAGGTAGGGCTGGCCCTATCGGAGTAGGAATAAATTTGTCTTCAAATTCTAAAAAAAAGAAAAAAATGATGGATTTTGCTTGTTGCAAGTAAAATAAACTTTATTGTCCTAAAGTGGAAGGGAAAGAAAGAGAAAAGAACTGGAACTTTCCATCATTTGGGGGAAAGGGTGAACAAATTGTGGTGTATGAATTTAATGGAATATTATTATTTGTAAGAAATGATGAAATTGGATGATTTTTAGAGAATCCTGGGTAGTGTGAACTGAGGGAAGGTGAAGTGAAAACCAGGAAAACAACTTATATAAGGATAATAAGATAGTAAGAAAAAACACCTCTGAAAGACCTAAGAACTCTGATCAATGCAACGACCAACCATGCCTCCAGATCTATGGGGAAGCATGTTATACACCCCTCCTGACAGAGAACTAGTAGACTCAAGGTATAGAAAGAGATATACGTTTCAAGGAACGACCACTGTAAGGATTCATTTGGCTTGACTATACTTAATTGGTTAAAAGGCTCCCCCCTCGCCTCACACCTTTTTAAATTGGGGGCTGGGAGAAAAGGGGAGCTACCCAAAAGAACTTGAAACATTTTTTTAAATGCACAGAAGAAAAGAAAAGGAAGTTCAGAAGTAAGCAGGGTAGTTTTTAAAGTAACACAGGAAATGCATTATATACTTTTTTTTTAACGTAATTGGTATGAAATGGAGATACACAGTTTCATATACAATTCTCTTTTTGCATTTTATTGCAGTTTCGAAAATTTTTTTTGGAGGATTTAAGTTTAGAATTTTAAAAAATTGTTAAAAATCTATAATCTTATCAATAGGGATGTTCCTTCTCCCTATGCAAACTGAAGCCTCTTTATACTTTAGTTGATGGCTTAATGTGCTATGGCTGAAAAAGTCATTATATGGCGACCAACCTTTTACCTAAGCTTTTCCTTGGACAGTGGTAAAGCGGCCTGGGCCTCAACTCAATAGTAAGCATTTATTAAGTACCTATAATTTTGTCAGGCACTGTACTAAGTATCAGGAATACAAAGACAAATGTGAAGGTCCTTGTCCTCAAAGACCTCATATTCTAAGGAGACAGCCATCATACACACATATAATACACAGAGGACAAACATTCAAGAAAGGACATATTCAAGGACAAAGAGATAAAGGAAAGAAGTTGTATAAGATTCTAAATTTCTTCAAACACTTGTTACCCCTTTAAATTATTACAATTCAGTTCAAAAAGCAGGAGAGAGTACATGAAAGTTCTTAAAAATGGCATATGAACTCTAGTAGGTCTGACAGCTCTTTAAAAAAAGTTACATTCTCAGATGTGTTTAATTTAACCCACTTAAGAATGAACTGCTCCTCTAGGTGTAGTAGATAGTGTGCTGGAATTGGAATCAGGAACATACAAGCACCTGGGCAGCCAGGTGGTGCAGTGGTAGAGTGCTGGATCTGGAATCAGGAAGGCTTATCTTCCTGAGTTCAAATCTGGCCTCGGACATTCACTAGCTGTGTGACCCTGGGTAAGTCACTTCACCCTGTTTGCCTAAGTTTCCTCATCTGTAAAATGAGCTAGAGAAGGAAATGGCAAACCACTTCAGTATCTTTCCCAAGAAAACCCCAAATGGGGTCACAAAGAATTGGATGTGACTAAAACAACCCAACAATAACAACAAAGCTTGCATCTTGCTCCCAGATACTTGGGATCTATTTAAGTCACTTAAATTATAAAATCCCATTACTTTATTTAAAATAACTTCTATTGATGCCTTTTGTTTTTACGTCACAACCATTGGGCTTCCTCTCTTCCCTCAACTGGGAACTGAACCTTCTCTTGTTAAAAAGGAGGAGTTAAAAATTAAAATCATATACAGTGACCCGAGCATGTATGACAGTCAATGGATGCAAATTTTTGCCACACAGTTCCTCACCGCTCTGCTCAGAGAAGGGATGTATGTTTCATTATTTATTCTCTAGGACCAAGACTGACCAAGACTTATCATTATAGTTACTCAGTTACAGCTCTCTATTAGTGTTCTTTTAATTTACACTCTTCTAGTCCTGGTAATGGTACATAGCCTCATAGATGATTTAGAGCTGGGAGGGCCTTTGGAAATCATTAAATCCAATCCTCTCATTTTACAGATGACGAAACTGAGACATAGAGAGGTTAAATGCCTTGCCCATAGTCAAAAAACAGCAGATGGCTGGGATTCTAACCAATGATCTCTGATTCCAAATCCCAAACCCTTTCTTTTGGTCAGCTTTATATAAGCCATTTTATCTCAGGGTGCCTATTTTTATAGTTAATTATACTATAATTTCATTATTAACTAATATATCATTATGAACCTATATAACCAAAGCATAACAGAACTATGGTAGGGAAAAAAGAAAAATGAGTCAAAAGTAAGCAGTTAACAGAGAAGCATGAAATCTGTGCTAAATAACTATGCTTTAGTTCTTGGTGTATTGTTTTGTCCACTGAGATATGTGTGTTATGTGAAAAAAAAAGATTTCTGAAAAAGGTACATAAGAAGAAATTTAATAAATAAAATGAGAATATATGAAATGGGATCAACTTACCTCTTTTAATACCACTGTATGAATTGATGCGATTATCTACCAATAAAACGAGGCCACAGAGAGATGCTGAATAGAGTGAGAGTGCTGTCTGTAGCCGATGGAGTTTTACGCCACTTCGATGATTTCGTTTGTGTTTACAAAAGTCTAACATGTCTGCTCTCAGCAATCTCAAATTATGCATGGTCTTCAGCTGGGCTCCTAAGGGTAAGAAATAGCCTTACAATTATGTATGTGCATATTTTAAGTTAATTTTATACTGAACTTGACAAACAAGCAAACATGAACTTGTACAAAGAACAGAAAAAGATGCTACATGCCATCGATAAAAATATCTGGATAACTGCAAATATGCAATATAACAAGGGCTAAAATGGTATAAGAGAAACCCAGAATAAAGCCTGTATTAAAAACTAATGAAAGGGGCTTGGTCTATACTGGAAACCTTCATTTTAATAGCTAATTTTATGTTTAATAATTTTATATGCCAGATGACTAATAATGTTATAGTAATGATGATGATGATGATGATGATAGCTAGCATCAATAAAAGTGCATATTATGTGCCAGGCACAGTGTTAATCACTTTAATATCATCTTGTTTGACACTCACAACAACCCTGGAAGGTAACTGCCATTATTACCTCCATTTTATAACTGAGGAAGCTGAGGCAAACAGAGGTTAAGTGACTTGCCCAGGGTCACACAGCTAGTAAGTCTCTGAGGCCAGACTTCAACTCAGCTCTCTCTGACTCCAGGTCCAGTGTTCTGTCCACTGTGCTACCTAGCAGCCTTAAGACTAATAGGTTTCCTTGGGTCAGCAGGCAACTTGTATTTAAAAAGTGAGGAAAAAAATGCACCAGGTTAACATGCCAAGCATTCTTTTTCTATAAAAACACAAAAATCAATTATTGTAATTATTACTGCACTGTTACGCACTTACCTAAGTGAATGGTAAAGCTTTCTTCTAACTTCCTTTGATCTTCATAAATTCTTCCATTTGCTTCTACAGATTCTCTGAACTGACTAGGCTGAACTTTAATTTCTTCACTGAAATATGTTTTTAAAAAGGTTATTGCAAGTTCTAAACAAAAGCACTTTTGAAAATGAAATGAGAAAAAACTGACAACTGAAAAGGAATATTTAACTCATCCCCAACTTAATCTTTACTATATCCATGGAAACAAAACAGGACTACAATAATCCAATTAAGTTCTAATTTTAAGATTTAATACTTTTTAAAGCAAATATTCATAGATGAGCAAATATTAGTTTATAGGCTCACTATGAAGACTATGCAATTTTTATTAAAAATATGCATGACTACAATTATCTAATAGTTTGCTTTATAAAAGAACTCATGACTTCTTAGTGAGTTCATTCAATGCATTTACAATATAACACATTTAAAAATTACAAAAACCACACGTTTTTCTTTCTTAAATTTTATTTTTCAATTCACAAGCACTTTCTTTTCTCTCCTTCAAATCCTTCTCTCCAACTTAAGGAAAAAGAAAGACAAAACTCTTGTAACAAATATGCAAAGTCAAGAAAAACAAATTCCCACATTGCCCCCTTCCAAAATAGGAACTTTTCAAGAAAACATGTCGCGTATAATGAGAACATGCCTGCCAGGTATTCTTTCTGATTGATCTAACCAAGTGCTTTTCTGATGCCTCTCCACAGCATAGAGATGCCCTGGATTCTCAAATGCCTTGTTTGCTAGGGCAGTGGAAGTTTTGGCAGGTTCTAGCTTGCTTGAAAATCTCTGAGGACAGCCCTGGCAACAGATGTGGTCTATTTTATGAGGACTAACCTAGCTAATAAGCAAGAAGCACACCATCATTAGACTGGCCACCTACTTATTATTTTGGCCTTGGCAACCTCTGAAAACAAAGGAAATTTAAAACAGCCCTTTGACCTGTGCGGGCCATGGTATCACAGCGGTGTGAAAGGGGGCAAAGGGTGCTAAAAATCAGTTTTCAGACCATCAATAAATTTATATTTGACTGTAGGTATTCTAAATGTAAGATATTTATCCATAGGCATACATAGGCATGATATAGGAAGACTTGAATCATGTAAATCTAGATATTCTTGCTATAAGTGAAACCAAAAGGAGGAGTTACAGTTTAATAAGATGGCTCATAGGTTCTCCTTGGAGAAGCAAAGAAAAGAGTTGGCAGAATGGGTTTTATCATATGCCCAGGGGCAACAAGAAACAGTATTCACAGGATACTTGGTCATCACCTATTTCAGCAATGATGATAAATATCTGAAACATCCATTATAAAAATAATTGCAATTCATGAAAATATGCAATTCCAATAATTCTAATGAGGAAATCACAAACAAAAAGAATTATGAGGAAAAAAACGGGATGTCCCTGATGCAAATGCACAGGAAACGTACCAACCAACTAAAATTTCAAAAGCAATGCAAAGAAGATGGAAGCAAGGACAGATAATATGAGTATAAGAGCATGATACATTCTTGCAAAAAGAGTGTCAAGAATGCTAAAGCTCAGAAGGAGGCGAAGCTAGTGAAGGAAGCTAAAAGAAGACCTAAGACGTGACAGGCCCTTTGACTGGAGTAGATGGGGAAATGATAATTAACTACATAGAGAGAAGGCAAAGATGCTTTTTATGCTCAATTATTATTTTCCTTTTGTTTTCTCTGCTAAGAAGAATGAACTTTATCCTGGAAATGACAAAACAAAAATGACTAACAGGGAGCTGAATGTATTATTAAGGAGGAGGAAATCGAAATGAATTGTTTCTGGGAAATTACAGACTTCTTTACTGACCCGAGTTTCCCATGAAAGCAAAGGCTCACTTTTAAAATACTAACATTCTACCAGTGTTGCTATATGGCAGGGAGACACAGAACTGTATTGTCTCCAAAGAACTAAAAATGAGTATCACTCAGAGGGCAAAAGAGAGGCCACCAATGAGAAACTCTGAAGAAAAGGAGAAAAAGATGTCATATCAAGGAGCTGGATGAGAGGAAACGAAACTGGGATGGTCATATGGAAGGAAGATGGGATGATAATGACCACCCAGAATGTTCCACTAGTATTCTTGCAATGTCAGGAGAAAGAGAGGAAGGCATCCAGCACACTGGATGGACCCCATGTAGCAGAAAGGTTACAGACTCTACTACTGGAAAGAAATGCAAATCAATGAAATCACAGACCCATCTGAATATTTGAATAATGAAGTACTGAAATAAATCAATATAGCTATCCTACTTGGTAGAAGTGAAATGAAAATGTTTATAGGGGAAAAAAAAACAAAACACAAGTGTGGCAGATGTTAAAGAGAGTGAAGAAACTGAGAACCAAAGTAAAAACCAGATTTTCCATCTGCCAGAACTGCAATTTTATCGTGCTTCAATATTACATCTAAAAGAAGAATTTTTATACCAGTATTTCCCATCCCTAAGTTTAAGACATAACAATCTATAACCACTTACTTCACAAGATCATTTAGTTTACTAATGTGAGCATCCCTACATGGACATAGATTGAAGTCTCCACGTAGATTTTAAAAAACAACAATCCTCTTAACACGTAGTAATGCACTGAGCGCTGGACCTGGAGTCTGAAAGCCAGTTTTCAGGTGTTACCTCTAATATTTACTAGCTATGTGACTGTAGTTCTATCACTTCACCACTCTAAAGCTGTTTCCTTAACTGTACTAGCTATTTGACAAAGTGTGAGTCCTCATTTTGCCACTTCTTACCCTTATGACTTGTACAAGGATCAACTTAGCTAGAAGAGGTTGCATTAAGTGAAGCAGCAACCAGGATCAGGGAAGTGCTGGCCTCTGTATTCTGCTCTAGTCATGCCACATTTGAAGCACTGTTTTCATTTTGGAGCCACTACATTTAAGGTAGGACATAAAAAGGCTAGAGAGTAAACGGAGGAAGGCAATGAGAATGGTGAAGGGATCTAAGATTAAGCTATATGAGGATCAATTAAAGGAGTTGAAGGATACTTAGTCTGGAGAAGGGAAGAGAGAAAAGATGATATCTGTCTACAAGTGATTGTGAAGCTATATGAAAGAGGAATTAGACTTGTTTTATTTGGCCTCAGAGGGCAGAACCAGGAGCAATGAATGCAAACTGCAAAAAGATGAAATTTAAGCTTGATGTGAAGAAAAAATTCCTATCAGGATTATGGATGGGATGTTTGGGGAGCTGCTGGATTCTCCCTCCTTGAAGGATGGATGACCATTTGTTGGGGACTCTTTTTCAGGAATGAGATGGTCTAGATTGCCTCTACATTTCTTTCTAAATCTAAGATTCTATGGTTTTTATTTCTGTGTCTGCTATACTTTGCTAGAAAGGAAGTATATGAATTTTTTCAAATTGGCTTAGGGAGAATAACAACCCTGAAGTAATTGATTTACTACCTAGAAAAAGTTGCCTTTTATATAGTACTGTTTTAATGGAAGTGTCAGTTTTATAAAAGTAATTTGATTTTCACTGAGTCTGTGTAAATCCTAACTGACATTTAACAGGGGAAAATGAAGGACTGGCAACCTGCTTCTCCTACTATTGTTTAAATAAATTTTACAACATTTAAATACGTTATTTAAATATATTTTACAGGATGAATTAGCCATCACCAAAAATAGTAACAAACAGAACTCACTTATGTAACAGTTTAAGGTTTATTAAGAATTTGGAGAACAGAACCTAATGTCAAATGAACATGACAAATCAAAATCTGCATTGAAAGAGAACTCAGAGATAATACAAGTTCTACCTTAAGTATGAAATCCTACTACATCGACAAAAAAAAAATAGACATTTAGGCTCTACATTTAGGCCCTCAAATGACAGAACCCACTACCTTCTAAAGTGATTCCTTCCCACTTCTAGATAGTTCTAATTGTTGGGAAGTTTTTCTTTGTCTAAAGCTAAAATCTGTTTCCCTGTAGCTTCCTACTGTTCCTAATCCTGGCTTCTGGAGTTAAGCAGAACTGGTCTGTAGTACTGTCTCCAATCTATTTAATCAGTACCTTTGATTAGATGATTATACCTATTAAAGAATGGTTATAAAGTGGCTAAATGTATAATAAACATATGCAACATTTTCCCATCAAATATACTTTTGTAAAAATATTTTTAAATTAATTTCATTAAATATTTAACAATTACATTTTTTAAAACTTTTAACATTCATTTTAAAAAACGTTGAGTTCCAAATTCTCTTGCTCCCACCTGTCCCTCCTCTCCCTCTTGAGTAAGCAAGCAATATGATATACACATCATAATATACTTTAAGATGAAATGATGTAATATAGTATTAATAGCCTTGTCAATCTAAATATAAATTTCTACTTTCTTTTTTTTGGCATTATTCAGAACTACTATGATATTTAGGTACAACAACTATATGTTTTCTAGCAATGCTGGAAAACAAGTAAAAGATGCATTGAGCATGAAAATGCTCAAAAATATTCTAAATTAATTTGTAAAAATAAGGGTGCTTTAATTATTATTATAATTTGTGAATGCCCTAAAACCGTTAAATACTAGAAAATGCATTTCAAAACTGTTGACATCAGATGTATATATTTTATTACCTCTTCAATCTCTTGATTTTTTTTTTAATCTGGAAAAACTCACAAGTTGGAGGCAACAACCTCAAGTACGTCTATCAAGTTACTCCTTGCCTAAATGCAGATACAGTGTCCATCACTGCTTTAGAGGTATGCAATTCCAATGTGAGTCATTACCAGACTCAGTGAGTCATTACCATTATTCAGAACACATAGGGAGAGGATATAAAGTATATTTGACCAATTTGTCTCCTGGGTCAGGGACAGCACTAGGTAAACGCAGAAAGTAAGTGACTCTTGTATCCCTTCCCAAACAATCCTCATCAAGCACTCAATCGTGTTGCAATATAAACCTTCTGTCAGAAGGAAGCACAATGGTAAACATTCATAATGAGGTTTAACACCATTTTAAAATAGGAACCTCATAAATACAATGCTAACCCCAAAGGAATGAATGTCATTCAGGTCATCTTAAAATATATTAGAAATTAATTTTGGATGGAATAGCACCTAAAAAGGAGAAATATTGTGATGGGATCCTTTTTACTCTCTCTATATATCACAGTAGGTGTGCAATGTCTCACCCATAAGAAAGACAGGCACTGCCTCCCTGATGCTCACTGCTATTTAAATAGGCGATGACATCTACATCCCAAAATAGCAACTCTCAGGGATGTCATTTCACTTCTAATCACTGACAAATGACCTGACTTTGTTCTGCATGGAAATATGAAAACATGGGTGAGGGGTCAATTTTAGAAGGTAAAAATACCAAGCAGACAAAGGCTTTTTAAGATTCAGATGAGAAATTATTTGCATACAAAGTGACTATATGAACTAAAAGCATATAACTATCTATAAGCGTATATAGAATATATCTGTACACAGAAACAAGACACTACTCTATTGCATTTTAAGCAAAAATCTAATTCAATATATCCTGGCAGCTTAAAAAAAAGTGAAAATAACTTTGGCAGCTTGAAAAAACAGCTTAAGAGAAAAAAGTGTGAGGCCAAGAGGTGACACAGGGGATATCGTTTATATTACGACTAGTCATATTTTAAACTAACTTAGAGGCAAATCAATTTAAAAGGAAAAGTGATATATAGAAGACAAATGGTATTAAGATTCGTGGATTTAAAATGTTTTTGAAGCTTTTTTCCAAGAAAAAACAATAATAACAACCAAAAAACCCCTTATGCCACACAAATGAAACAAAAAATGTCAATAATCCAAAAGCTGTTAAAAATAAAAATACAATTACCTCGAAATTCCACCTCTTACTCAGGGATCTCTACAATTAAAAAGACATTTTCCTTAAAAAGACTCAATCTATTTACTAGTTTAGTTAACAACAATAAATGCTTAATATTTCAGATGATTAATACCTGATAGATTTGTTGTTTGGATTTTTTAGGTCTTGGTGAAGCTTTATTACCCATTCCTGATATTCCTGTTTTTGGATGGCAGTCGACTGTTTTAGCTCATTGGTCCATTTATTCTCTAAGACCTAATGATGGCATCCAGAATAATTAATTTTATTTTTAAAAGAAACATAAAATGCAGTTACATGAATGAAAGTCATTCCTTTCTACTTACCTGTTGGGATTCAAAATGTTGAGCAGCCAATGAATTTACGTCCTGATCTGTAAGTGACTTACCCAGTTCCTGCATTACTTTATCCATTTCTGCACCTTGCCTGAAGACAGGGAGGAAGCCAAAATCAGTTGAGGTAGCAAACCTTCTAGTCTGAGCCCTAGTGCAGAAGTCAAAAGACTTAGTCCCAATTTCTTTCTTTTTTTTTTTGTTAGAAGTTCTGAGATTCTGTATTTTTTTAAGGGCTGGAAAAAAACCTTTTTTTAAAAAATTAATTTATTTTTAGTTTTCACCAATCACTTCCATAACCTTTTAAGTTTTAAATTTTCTCCCTCTCTCATTCTGCCTCCCTCCCCAAAATGGTGTGCAATCTGATATAGGCTCTATATATATATTCCTATTAAACATATTTTCACATTAGTCATGTTGTAAAGAAGAATTAGAACCAATAGGAGGAACCACAAGAAAGAAGAAACAAAACAAAACAGAAGGGAAAAAAAGAGCCAATAGTATGCTTCGATCTGCATTCAGACTACATAGCTCTTTCTCTGGATGTGGATTAGTTCCAATTGCTTACAGCTCCATGTGCACCTTAGCAGTTTCAATTGTTCTTATTTCCCCAACTGCAAAATGAAGATGATTGTTACCCTCTTATCTCCCAGGAAAGAAGAATTATTTTGTTAGAAAAAGTACTTTGAGATCTTTGGAAAGTGAGGTACAAAACTGATACTGATAACTCTACAAGTTATCAGAAACTTTGCTTATGAGGGCGATTTGCATCTGAAATTAATGTGAGAGAAACTACTCGAATCTAATAGACTTTTTACTGGAATTTCATTAGAGAATTCTTATTAACGAAAGCACAATGCTTTTTACATCTACAGATTTCTTGAAGCATACACCCTGCGATCTATGTTCAAAATACATTTGTTATATAGGATAAAGTAACTTTTTGACCATCAGTCAGATACAAAGGAGTATGTGACTAACTCCTCTGACTTAGATTCAAATGAAACACAACCTCCCTGAGTGTCCATTTTTTTATTTCTAAAATGAAGGGGTTAGACTACAGGACCTTTAAGGTTCCTTCCAAGACTAAGAATAAAGGCAAGAAACTGAAATCCAGAAGGGTACAGGGTGCATTTTTCTCACTGCTACCCACTGAAAGCCTGAGATGCAAAGGAGAGAGGTTAATTTGGGAAGAGACTAGCTGGCCAGGAAGATGCTATCTAAGAACGGGATTTAGATTTTGGGACCACAGCTTAAAAAAGAAGAATGGGAGACTAAGGCCAGAGATAAAATATACCTAATAAAGATTGGTGGGAGTGTATTTGCCAGGGTTTGGCAAATTTAATCAAAGGGACCTTAAACTAAAAGAAATGGGAGGAGATCACCTATGTATGGTCCCCATGCTAGATATCAAAAAAAAAGCTTTAGTGAAGAAAAAGGAGCAACTGAGAAATCCAGAAGTTCTTAGGAGATAAAAGTCAAAAAACATTCACTAAAAATATACACACCCTCCAATGTATATATGGAAATGCTCAAAGTTTAGGCAACAAACAAGAAAAACTAAAGGTCCAAAGCAAGGAGGCAAAAACTTCACAGGTATTAGATTTGGGGGGATGAACCCTATGGCTGGACTATGGTTCAGGAAGATATGCCTTAACAAAAAAGATCAAAGGGAAGGAGTGAGAAGGAACTGTATATTTAAAAGATAAGCTAATGTGAGGAAATCCAGAAGTCCAAAAGGAGAAGTATGATAGCATTTTGGGTGAAAGTATCTAAAAAGTTCTTTACTAGACTTAGTGATATTTTCATCTTTCAAAAAGTGGAGGGACCAACTAGGGAAAATTCTACTCTGGATGTTATTCTCACTAAAAAGGAGAAACCACTTAGTGGGGTAAAAATTATGGGAATCCTGAAGGAAAGTGACCACTCCATCTTAAGAATTTAGGATAGAAGAGAAGAAATCCAGGTACAGCCTCACTCATACCACAGATTTAGGGAAAGCAGATTTCAAAGGGTTCAAAGGAAAGACTGCAGGAAAGGTGGTTTGCTCAAGAATAAAATTCTGAAGACACAAGGAAAAACAAATCCAATAGGGAGGGAATTCACCAAATAACTTAAGACTTTTTTTTTAAAGAAATGCACATAAAATGGAAGAGAAGCCAAGTAACAGAGAATAACAATAATAGCTAACACTTACCTAGAGCTGTAAGGTTTGCAAGGCACTTCACAAAATTATCTCATTTTATCCTCACAACAACCCTGGAGGTAGGTACTATTTTTATCATCACTATTTTACAGATGAGGAAACTGAGGCAGACAGAGGTTAAGTGACATAATGAATACGAGTGGGGCAGCTGGTATGCATGGGAAGCAGAAATTGAACCCAGGTCCTCCTGACTGTAAGACCAGCCCTCTACCCACTATGCCAGGCTGTCACACACACACACAAACACATACACACCTATTGCATTTCTAAAATATAGTTTCAGTACCAATTGATGTCTACTTAATTCTAACCCTCACAGATGCCAAGGGCCTCCATTTCAACCTGTCCCTGAACAGGAATCCCCTCTTTAATATACATGACAATTAGCTGTCTAGTACAGTCTGCTTGATTTTCATCAATGGACAATTCACTATTTGCTGTGATAGCCGCTGCTGGACAGCTCTAATTATTAGGGATGTTTCCTTACACTGAGCTGAAATTGACCTTTCTGTCTTCTCCCTCTTTCCCTTAGTTTTACAAACCCTTGAAGACATGCTATATCATCATCACATCATCTACACAATGCCAGAAGATCTGCAAAGCAAACATATGGTCTCACTTAATCCTCATTACAATACTGTGAGACAAATGCCATTGGATCTTCATTTTATAGACGAGGAAACTGAGGCTAAGACAGCCTCAGAGACTTGCGCAGGCCCACAACTAGTAATCCTGTTTAATGCAGGATTAAGTGTTAGGCCTCCTGCCTTCAGGTCACTTCCACAGAATAAGCCTAGGCCCTCTTTCACACTGCAGATATACTCTCTCAGTGGTTTAGACTATAAATTGCAGAACAGTGTTAATGTGCACTAGCAGAGACAGTTGCCTTACCTGGAGTTCCCTGTGCTCACATGAACTCACAGGTATGGCCAAAAAAACCCCAAACCCAACCCGAAAAAGGTTTCATTTGTTAAAGAGGTATGAATACTGACAGACAGATCTGGATGCAAAATTATATGCACACAAACAAATATACATGATATGTGTTCCCCCTGGTGGATGATGAATGTTGTTGCAGTTTTGAAAGTTTAAAGTGAATGACTGAAAACAAAACTTCAATAAACAGAATTTAATTATCAGATTCCCCAAACCTTTCTTCCATTTAAATGGAAGGTAGAAGTGCTGACAGGTGCAAAATGGTCTGGTAGGTAGTATATTTAAAAGTACAATCTAGAGCAGTAGTGTCAAATTCAAACAGAAATGGGGCCACTAAACTGTACAGAAGGATTGCTGCAGGCTGCATACTGATTATATTTTGCTATAGTTTTATTTATTTTGTTAAATATTTCCCAATTCCATTTTAATTGGGTTTGGGTGGCACTAGGGCATGTTGAAAATTGTGTGTTTGGCTGGCCATTAAGATCAGAGACTATTACTTTCACAACCTGGTTCCTTCCCACCTTTCCAGTTTTCTTACACTTTACTCTTTCACATACTCTACGATCCAGTGACACTTGACTCCTTGACCTTCCTCCCTCGTACTTCCAACTCTGGACCTTTTCACTGGCTGTCCTCTGTGCCTAGAATATTCTTCCATTCTGTCTCTTGGCTTCCACAAAGTCTCAGCTCAACATTCATCTTCTGCAAAAGGCCTTTTCCAGGCCTCCCTAGCCTCCCAATACTTTCCCTCTACAAGCAGCTCCCCATTATGTTATATATAGTTTTTGTGTAGACAGTTGTTTGCAAGTTGTCTTCCCCCATTTGAATTCTAACTCACTGAGGGCAGGGACCATGTTTTTCCCTTTCTTTGTATCCCAATTGCTTAGCACAATGGTTGACATACAGTAAGAGCTTAATAAATGCTTACTGACACTGTCAAGCAGCAACTTGGATAGCACCACCGGAAAAAGAGTAGAAAGAGCAGTAGCACCTCTGTGGCTGTCTTGATGAGGCCCCCTTTGCTCTGCTGCAAGACTGGGGAGGTGAGCATGAAGGAGGGGCATTATTTTGAAGTGAAGCTGATTTTTGTGACCCTGGCTACCAAAGGTTGTTATTGGTCAGGGGGAGGATTGTTGTGGGCCAGAACATTAGTTGAATTGGGATTGCTTAAGTTAACTCTCACCCCTCCCCCCCCACATAACCAACCGGTATGGTTGTGAGTCAAGAGGTTATAAAGCAGACCTAGGATAGCATGAATTAACTTTGCCCTAGGTAAGTTGACCTGAGACCTAGTTGTGGGCCCTTTGGATGAAGAGTATATAAAGACAGGAGAGGGAAATTACACCCTCTGAAGGGGGACCTTTCTCACCACTGCTTTTATCTCCTTGTGGAAGATGGTCTAGATTTTGATTTTGTTATTATCAGGAGCTGCAAGGGTAAAAATTCCCTCTATTGAGCCAGACTGGCAATTTGTCTAGAATTTATTGACTTAAGAGTGCCTATGGTACTACGAGTTAAGAGATTTGCTCATGAGTTCACACACTATGTGTCAGAGGCAGGACCTGAACCTGGGCCTTCCTGATTCCAAGGCTGGCCCTCTATCCACTATAACACACTGCTTCTCATGACCGGAAAAATAGGAACACTTAGATGAACTTAATAGTTTGGTTCTGAATGCAAGTGTAGTTAGAGAACAATTTAAACAAACATTTCCCATATTTAGTTCATGTGACCACATTCCTGAAAAAGGGCAGAGAAAACCACGCACCAGAGCAAGTAATCCTGGCAGTTTTCTCGCCATTGCATTTTAAGCTTGTCCACCCTTAGAAGCTTTGAAATCTGGTGAAGCAGATGTGTACCAACTGACAAGGGCATGGGCAAAAACTTATGCTGAGGTGAGAACATGGGTCGGGCTGGAATTTCCCTCCCCTCCCTTCTGCATCAACTAAGGATCAATAAGCTTAAAATGCAATCACTAATGGCATATTTGAGAGAAACTACATAAATCTACATGGACCTGCAATATTAATTTCAACAACTGGTTTGAAACGAACCAGGAAATTATTTGCATTTATAAAAAGGAAAATTTTTCTTATTTACTGCTTCAATTTTCTAAACATTTCTAAAAATGTCTCCCCTGGACAAGTGCATCTAACTATACTGAAACATGACAATCAAGCACAAGAACAGTTGAAATACCTTTCTCGTAACTTTTTCAGCTCCACATCTCTTTCTCCAATAAGTTCTGAGATACTAACAAAGTAATTGTGCTCCAAATTTAAGAGAGTTTCAGAGGCAGGAGAATGGATTAGGTCATGGTAGACATCTGCAAAATCTTCATCCCAGCTTGGCTCTTCAGGTCTTGCATGCTCTAATGTGGTCTACAAGATAAAACAGACATAAGAGAAATCTTTATGGAATGTTTCCTTTTAAAATGCAATGCTGCAATTATACAAAAAGCTTCTTTCCCCTCTATCATGTGGTTCTTGTCCCAGTTTTCCCACAAATTTTGTAAGTACTGTGATACAAATATACTCTTCAGATTTTCTATTTATTATTTCATTCTTGATGTATAACCCGTCCACTTCCCTTTCCATTCATAAGTGTCCTTAATATTTATTTCCTCGAAAACAGCCCCAATCAGACCACATCTGAAAACCTGTGTTCACGTTGTAGGAAAACACGAACATGATGACGTACTCTAGAGGCAGGCTACCAGGATAGTGAAGGGATCGGAAACCATGTCACATTCTTCCTAGCCTTAGAAAGTGCAGCTAAGCAGAAGTTACAAGAATAACATTCTGATTTCCATCAGTTAGTGCTCACTCTCTGCAAAGTGGCCCACCCTGACTCCAGACACTCTGGAAGTCAAGCAGAGTCTGCGTGCACACTGCAAGCAATGATTGCAAGCCGATTCCTAGCCAGGTAGGATGTGCTGATAAATGATGAGCCATCCACACTAGGGGAGAATGCACACAACACACCTGAAAGCTTGAAATGCATTATTAACATTTTCTTCTCTTTCCCTTTCTAAGTCTAGACAATCAACAAAAAAACAGATCAAGCACTGGTTTGTGGACATCCATTCTGAAGTGTCAGTGCTCACTGACAACTGAACAGTCTCTCCAGAGCCAGTGCTGGCATGAGGCAGCTCTCTCCAGCACACCAGTGTGCCCAGGCAGGGGTTGGACTGGTGGCCTCCGATTCTGTGAACCTGGCCCACATCAACAACAACAAACGGCAAGGGGGCATGCTGTACAAACGGATAACTGTGGTACAAAACAGGATTAACAGAAACCAGTCCCAGAAAAGCTTTGTCGGTTTAATTTAATTCCCACACTGAAAGAATTCTAGTCTCCTACACACTAGTCCAGGGGTGGGGAGCCTGCAACCTCGAGGCCACATGTGGCCCTCTAGGTCCCCAAGTGTGGCCCTTTAACTGCACCCACACTTCACAGAACAAATCCCCTTAATGAAAGGATTTGTTCTGTAAAACTTGGACTCGGTCAAAAGGCCGCACCCAAGGACCTAGAAGGCCACATGTGGCCTCAAGGCCACAAGTTCCCTACCCTTGGAGCATAGTCCATCTTTAATTACTAATTTGTACAGATGCAAAAATATTAGATAAAATATTAGTAAAAAGGCTACAGCAATACATTTTTAAATTATTTATATGAATATGCTAAAATCTCAGTTTTGCTAGGTATGAATGAAACTACCTTGGTTAATAAGACAACCAGTTTTACTCTGATGATTCTTAATTTCTTTACTTCTTTTAGTAACTGTACCACAGTCACATACATTTTTTTTCTGCAAAGATTTTTGTGACATTTTTACTAATTAGGGAAGCTATATCCATGAATTTCACAGCCTTAATTGTTCAACAATAAGAATGCCTAGCTTGTCAATTTTTATTGTAAAAACAGGTATAATTGCACTTTATGCAGCAGATATGCCCTTAAAAAGTAAAAAGAATATTTATAACTTGCATCATAGTTTAAATGTATTCAGGGAGCTCACTAAGTAATCTATGAATTCTTCCATAATGTAAGTAATCATCTTATAAAATTTACTGATTCTGCAAATCCTTATTTACATATGTAAGGTTCGCCTGAGGTAGAATACACCTAGGGGGCATGCAATAATGGAAAGAACATTGGCCTCAGGGGTCAGGAACCTTGGGTTTTTACTAGCTGTTTGATGGTGGACAAGTCATTGAACATTTCTGAGTCTCAGTTTCCTCATCTATAAAAGAGGACAATAGTACTTGTACTACCTACTTCCCAAAGCAGTTGTGAGCAGAGTGCTCTGCAAACCTTAAGGCCCTATAAAATACATTAATATTTACTCACAAACCATAAATGAGGGAAGGAAAGCAGAAGGGGGGGAGGGCAGTTCCAGCTGACCCATGGTCTCACCTCAGCATAAGCTTTTGCCCATGCATTTGTCAGCTGGTGCACATCAACTTCACCAGATTTCAAAGCTTCTAGTGCAGCCTCAGCTTCTCTATCATAGTCTCTTAGAGATTCTTTCTCTATAAACTGGCTCAGAGAATCTTTTAAGTCTGTGGCAGGAAAAACACAAATCAACATCAGTTACACTCCCACAGATCAATTAATCAATCTACAAGCATTGACTAAGCACCTATTACATGAGAGGCTCATCAGGCAACGAGGACACAAAGACAAACGTGAGCCAGTCCTGGCCCTCAAGGAGATCAGGGGGCAGAAGAAAACTTGCACCCAGAGATAGAGAAAAAGTTAAAAACGATTTACAGGGTGTTCCTCCAATTTCCAAATTTTAATCTTATGTGCCTTATTGCAGCATACTACTAAACAGCTAAAACAACTTAACCCTGGGTTCTCGATCTTTCTAGGGGCATGAATCACTGTCTTCTCTGTGCCGTCTCTTCCTCGCGGGTCTCTGTGACACTACTTCATCCTGGTTCTCCTGTCGAATGGAGTCGCTCATTCTCAGTCTCCTCGTCTGGATCTTTGTCCGGGTCATGCCCACTAGTCACTGATTTCTCCCAGAGCCCTGGGCCCTCTTCTCTTCTTCCTCTATAGTATTTCTCCTGGTGATCTCATTAGTTCTCATGGATTCAATTTATCATCTCTTTGCTGATGATTACCAAATCTACTTTTTGAGCCTAACTTCTTTTCTTTCACCTAAATCCTCCTCTTTTCTTAACTTCCCTATTACTGTCAACTAGACTCCAATCTTCAGTCACCCAAGGCTCATAATTGAAATGACTAAGTATCATCCTAACCTCATTATTTTCTCTTATCACCCCAGCTTCCCTTCCCCATAAAATCTGTTGCCAAATCCTGTTGATTTTACCTTCATCTCTCCCGTGACACTGTGACCACTCTGGTGCAGGCCTTCCTCACCTGTTTAGAACTGTAATTGCAATAGCCTGCTGCTCTGTCTCCCTGCTACAAGTCTCTCCCCCAAGTCCATCCTCCACTCATCTGTTAAAGCGATCTTCCTAAAGTCCAAGTCTGACCATATCAATAATCAATAAACTCCAGTGACTCACTATCACCTCCAGATCAAATATAAAATCCCTGTTTGGGGTTCAAAGCCCTTTGTAACCTAACGTCCTCCTAGCTTTTTAGTCTTCTCATACTTTACTCACCCTCATGTACTCTTCAATTCAGCAACACCAGCCTCTTGGCTGTTCCTCAAACAAGACACCCTATCTTTCGACTCCATGCATTTTCACTGGCCATCTCCCATGTCTGGAATTCTCACCCTCCTCATCTCTGCTTCCAGAATTCCTTGGCTTCCTTCAAATCTCAGCTACAATCTCCAATTCCTTAAGGCCAGGATCTTCTCTTTATTACCTCCAATCTACCCTGTATACATCTTGTTTGTACATTATTGTCCTCAGGTTGATTTCCCCAATAGACTGTGAGCTCCTTCAAAGCAGGGACTATCTTCTGCATTTCTTTGTGTCTCCCTTCTCAGATTAATGTTTTTAAATGATAAAAAAATAAAAAGGACTATAAGAGAAACCATTAATAATAGTAAATTTGTCATAAAAATACTAAAAAAGCTGACAAACCTCAGGTTAACAATCCCTGATTTAAACAATGTAACAAATTTTCTATTTTATTATTTTAAGTTATTCTATGTATTTTAATGAAAAGGGAAAAGTCTACCTATTCTTTTTCGACTACAGCATACTCTGATATTCAATAATTGCTAATGGTAATAACAATTATCCAGTTGTTGGCTATGTTGGCATAAATCCCGAAAGGAAAGCTTCCTAAGAATTGTGCAGGAATGGGAAAATTTCAGTCCCTTCCACTAGAAACGTAAATGGAAAGATTTTATCCCTACATGACTTTAGAAAACTCAGTTACATGCAGAATTAGAATCATTATTAAAATATACCAACTTGAAAGTAAACCTTAAAATGTTATATCAATATGAGTTAGAGTTTAAAAGATTCCAATTTCCTAAATTCAGTAACAAACTACATATGCTCCTTAATGAAGTCTGTCATCTTTAGGGCATCTATACAGTTCTTGTTTTTGTTTGGGGAAGGTGAGTGTGTGAAAGTAAAGGGCAGATTTAGACCTCTCATTTCATCAGTGTGGCAGCTAGGTGGTACAGTGATTAGAGCAGCAGGCAAGAAAGGCCTGAGTTCAAAACTGCCTCAGACATTTACTACCCGTCTGACCCTTGGCAAGTCACTTAGTTAAGTAAAGCTAAGTCATACTGGAAAATTACTGATACATAGAGATTAGGTCTCTAATTTTCCCAGACTTTCTTAGGTACTGATGATAACTGATATTTTATTTGTTTTTGTTTTTTTCTGCTTTTTGGTGAGGCAATTGGGTTGAAGTGACTTGCCCAAGGTCACAAAGCTAGTAAGTGTCAAGTGTCTGAGGCTGGATTTGAACTCAGGTCCTCCTGACTCTAGGGCCGTATTCTATCCACTGTGCCACCTACCCCCCCCATTACTGATATTTCAAAGGACAATTTAAGCAGTAAAATGTTCTGCAGCACTACTATTAGTGATAGGTACACTGTCTTACAGACCGAAGCTACAAACCAAATTCAGAGAAGTACCAATCCAGACACCCCTCAACCTTCCCACTCTATATTATACCTACCAAAGGAGAAATGCCTATGTCTCTGGAGAGGGAGGAGGATGTTATGGAGAGCAGTCTATAAATATTATATGGTATCTGGTCTATGAATATTTTTAAAGTTTTTAGTCCACATTTTGGCTAGACAGGAACGCAGCTAGTATTTGTTGCACTGATATTATTAGGCATGTGGGCCTTTGAAATGTTAGCTTCCATAATATCATATGTTTGGAGAATCAATTAAGGTAGCTAGATGTTGTTGCATGCCTTTACCAATTCAGGAAATTTTCAATCAGAGTGAATAAATGATTTAGCATGCAAATTCTGAAAGATTGTGAACTTCTATTTTACAGTTACATTTATTCAGCTGAAAGGCCTCCTGACTTTCGTTCTCCTGGCATAAAACATAACTGGAGGGCAAAGTTCTGGCACTTCTGCAGTTTTATTCAGGTACTATTTGACTAGATGGCTTCTAAGGGGGCATCCAGATCTAGATCTATGATCCTAAGACCATAATACAAAATTATTGTGATACTCCACAAATATTTTGTGAAAACAATTGGTGGGGATCAGAAAGCCCTTTTCATACCTATAATACTACTATCTGCACAGAAGGAAAAGTGTTAGCAGTTGTACCAACAACACCTTTTTAAAACTTGTGACTATTTCTAACAAAATTCCATTCTTTTCAGAATATGTAATTCAGTAAGTCCAAAAAGAAGAGCAGTTAAACAATAATCAGAATCAGTTCTCACCACTTTCTATGAAGCAAGGCAAATTGTGGAGAAGCATCAGACGTCCATGTAAGTTAGCTGGGTTCTCTTGAACAGGAAACTTCAGAGGCACTGTAAGTTCAAAGCACTGGCTTCCTACATTGAATTTATATACAAATTCTCTTTCTCGGCCACAGAATTTCTCTTGGTTTGCTTTCATCTTATCTGGTGCCAGAGTAGCCGTCATCTAGGTTGTCCTATATTAAAAACAACACATCATCATGTATATGTTATCAAGTACAGTTGCTCTTCTGAGTGGCACTACTTCAATTAAAGTTCTTTCTAACTGCTGTTGACTTGTTAAATTCATGGTGCAGTGCTGGATGCTGAGTCAGAAGGCTTGGTCAAACAGACTCTGTCACTACTTATCTGACCTTAAGCAAATTTGGGGGGGCAATTTCAAAACCCCAGCTATAAAATGAGGGAGGCAGATTAGATGATATCAAAGTCCCTTCTATCTCTAAATTTATGATCCTGTGACAACTTTTTTTCCCCTATCTCTTCAACTTCTTAAGATAACACACACACAAAATATAAAGTGATTTTTCTTGATACACTCATTTGTGAAAAGGAATATTGGAAAGCTGTAACCACAGCAGGGAGTTCCTGAGTGATTTAAAAAATAAGAATTATGAAATTAGAATTTATTGGCTGCATAGCAAAAATGATCAGCAGAGCAGAAAAACTCGAATCCACAGTAGCAACAAAACAAAAAGAAACAAAAAGATCCCAGTCCAGGATTCTCCTAACTCCAAAGGCCAATGCTATTTTCACTACTCCCTGCATTCTTTGTATGATTATATAGACAACCTTCAGACTATTCTTTCTTCTTATAGCATGTAGAGAAAGTGGAATTTATATTTTGCATACAGTCAACTGAGTGCTCATTACAGTTTTTGGTGCTGTGGTGAGAGAAAATGAAATAAGCGAAGTACTTGTCCTTGGGGAGCACTACACTACTGAAGAAAACTAGATGAATTTATGACAAATAAGTAAGAACACAGAGAAAAGAACCAAAAAATTATACAACTATTCCAAACTCTAATGAAATACATGTTAGCAATGGTTTTCTGAGGGTAGATACAGTTCAAGTAGGGACCAAACAGCATTTAAAGTTCCACTGAGTGCACTTAAGTTTGCTTCCTCAACATGTCAGGTACATTAGCATCATTTATATCTTAGTTCAAACTATGTGTGAATTATATCACCTCCTCTTCATCTATTAAAATACTATTCAAATGTTACCTTTTCTAAGAAGGCTTCCCTTTTTCGAGACTATATTTCTGTTGGAATTCACATAACATTTCTCCCTCACATTTCTAAAGCATTATTTTGCTTTATGCCTCCATTGTAAGCTCCCTGAGGCCAGGTACCCATTTGCCTTATTCAAACTTAGTTTCTACTCTAACTCCTATTATTTAATTATCATTACCAATGAATATTTGTCAAATTAAAATGGTAAACAAGGAAAGGAAGACAGGGCCTCTGCTCTCAAAAAGATATAAGAGAATACAAGCTGGGTACTGTACAAGGAATTTTGGTGTCAAAGAATGTGGGTTCATAGAATCATAGCTCTGGAGCTGAAAGGGCTCTCAGAGATTTTCATCTATGACAACCTACTTGTTTTATAGTTGAGAAAACTAAAGGCCAGGGAGGGTAAGTGACTCGCCCAAGGTTACATGGACAGTAAACACCAGAGGCAGAGTTTGAATACAGATCCTTTGACTCCTAGTGATTAACTAGAATTATAAGTATGACTTTGGGCAAATCATTCCTTGGGTCTAAGTTTCTCGAACTGAAAAATGAGAAGGGAGTTAGAAAGGATGGCTTCTGAAGTCCTTTCCAAATGTATATATAATTCTATGAGCACACCCAATGAAGGACTGATTGAAGTAAAGATCGGGAAAGCAAAGTATTTGTTCAGAGAAAATGGTTTAGTGCAAAGAACACTGAATATGGACTCAGAGAACATGGATATTCATATTCTGACAGCTATTTGTGTGACATTTCCTCTCTGGGCCTCAGTTTCCTCTCTGTAAAACAGAGGTACTGAACTAGATGATCTCTAAAGTCATCTTCAGTTCTAAATCCAAACTAGGACTCATTAGGTGATAATTCTTATATTCTGGTTCAAGGATTTTATACATTACAAACCCTTCTGTTCGGGGTTCAACTGGTTCTTTGCTTCCCTCGCCCTTTTTTCAATTGGTTCCATTTCAAATAAAGTTAAAAAAAATCAGTTTGGGGATTTTAATTTAGCAAATTAGTCCTCCAGTTTTTGTTCAAAATTTGGTTTAATCTCCTCGATTAGCTATGGGGAGGTTTTATTCAGGTTTACTTGGAGGGGGTGAGCTTTGCTAAAGGGTGGTGGACTGGACTGGGGAGCTTGGATCCTTTGCGGACCTCGGGGCTGTAAATGGGAAGAGGGAGAGGAGAGGAAGGGTGAGGGGTGAGGCAACGCGATCGGTACAGAAAGATGGGGCTGGAAAGGAGGACTCTGGGGGGAAAGGGGACAAACTCCGCAATGCTGTGAGATCCCCTTCACAAGGCCCTTCACAAGCCCCGCGCCTCACCTGCTTTCTCCACGATCTGAGCCAGGAGTGGGCAGGTTCCTTCACCTCATCTCTCAGGACCGATCAGCTGACAGGAAGGGCAGCTGACGGCCTCTGCTAATCCACCGCCGCAGATTCACTTTTCCCTTTTTTTCAATCTTGGAGAAAGACCTGCTTGACGCAGCCTCCTCTGTTTTTTATTTTCCGTCGTATGCCCATTTGTGATGTGAAAAGATTTTTCCTTTCCTGATTTTTTTTTCTTCTAAGCCACAAGAGGGTGGGGGTGAGGGGAAGCGAATAAATAAATGGCGAATGTGCAGGTTAAAAATAGCAGACTGAGCGCTCCTCGGGCCGCAGCGGAACTGGGGCTCGAGTTCCGGGTTTCGAGTTCCGGGGTGGGTGGGGCTCCCGCGCTCTTGATCTTCGGCGGGAACGGTCGCTCGCGCCGAGCTGGCTCCGGCTTCTGGAGGCTCTGAGCGCCTCAGCTCCTGGAGCGACCTCGGGCAGCCTGCGACCATGCCGAGGCCCGTGCGGTGAGTAATTAACCGATATGGTGGGGGAGGGTCGGGGAACCGGACGAGATTGAAAAGAGGAAGGAGAGGGTAAAGGGCAGAGGGCCCGAGGTGGTGATCGGGAACGTCTCTGAACCGAGACTGAGGGGAGAGGAGTGGAGATGGAGAGGAGAAAGGTGCCGGTTATGTGACCCACCAGATAACAGGAACAGTAGCATTCGTAATAGCGCTTTAAGACTTGCAAAGCGCTTTACAAATGTTGGCTTGTAAGAATATTTGTCACAATTATTAATTTCTTTAAAAAAATTTCAATGAAAACATTTTCTTTGTGTCTCACCCATAAACCATTGGGGGAAAAAAAAAGAAAACCAAATAGACATGGTCAAGGAAAACATATTCCTGCGTTGGCCCCGCCTAAATATACACATATATACGTTTATGTATATTCACACACATAGGTCTCATTCTGCGTCTTAAGTCTGCCGCTTCTCTGTTTGGAGGTGGATAGCTTGCTTCATCATTGGTCCCTGGTAATTGAATGGATTAGAGTTCTGAAGCCTTTCAAAGGTGTTTGTCCATACAGTGGTGTTGTTATTGTACGACTGGGACTTCACTCTGCATCAGTTCATACAAATCTTCCCAGATTTCTCTGAAGCTGCGCCTTTCATTATTTCTTACAGCATAATGATGTTCCATTGAATGTATATATGTATCATACTTGGTTCAGCCATTTCTCAATTGATAGGCACGCTTTTCCCCACCCTCCTTAATTTCCAGTTCTTTGTCACTACGAAAAGAATTGCTACAAAAATTTTTGTCTGTATGAGTCCTTTTCCTCTTTTTTTTAAAAAATCTCTTTGGGGTATAAGCCTAGTAGTGGTATCCCTGGGTCTCAGGGTATGCAAAGCGTAGCAAATTTTGGAGCACATTCGGCTTATTTTTCAGAATGGCTAGACCAATTCACAGCCCACCCAGAGTGAAAAAAAAATTTCTAAAGTACCTTAAGGTTTTTCAGATAATTTCTTCCAAAACAATTCTTATTTTACAGAGGAGGAAACAGGACCAGAGCGGTGAAGTGTTTTGCCTGGAGTCACACAATGAAAAAGTGTTAATGCTGAGACTGTAACTCAGGTTTCTGACTCCCATATCTGTTGCTTTGCCTGGTATACTCTTCATGCCTTGCTCTGAGTATCTCTCCACTTCATCTTCCCACAGCTGCCAAAGTGATTTTCCTAAAGTGCAGATCTGACCATGTCTTCTCCCTTACCCAGTGAGTTCCAGTAGCTCCCTCTTACTTCCAAGATTAAATCTAAACTCTTCCATTTCTCTTTTAAAGCTCTTTACAACCTGGCCCATTTCTACCTTTCCAGTCTTCTTACACTTTACTTTTTTTTAATGTAGTTTAAGTCCAACTTACTAACTCATTTGCTGGTCTATCATATCACACTCCTTTCTCTCAAATTCATGCATTTACAATGGTGGTCCTCTAGGCCTTGAATGCACTTCCTTCCTTCCCTGGGTTCCTTCAAGATTGAACTCAGAAACCACCTTCCTCCAGAGATTTTTCCCATTCTCTCTCCCTCCCTAGCTGCTAATGCTGTTTTAAGATATTGTTTTCCATTTGTAACGTATCAGTTATTTTCAAGCTGTCTCTTCTGTTAGAAGGTGAGCACCTTAAGGGTAAATTTCCCTTTTTATCTCTAGTGCCTAGTTGAAGGCCTGACTAGTAGTAGTAGCTTATTGATTGACTGACTTGGTCTTCTCTAATCTTATATTTAAGGAAAATATAATTAGGAGTATAAATCTAGTGGTAAAATGAATTATAATAGATCTCAAATTAATTGATTTTCCTAATTCAGTTATAAGTTACTTTTTGGATTATCTACTGTTGATGTATGTAAAATTGAAGATTCATTAGTTGTAATTCTGCACATTTTATATACTAAATTTCTGAATTTAATGCTTCATACTTTGTAGGTGTTAGTGTATGAACATTTTGGCTTAGCCTGTGTCATAGTGCAAGAATAATTTTGAATTAATTTTATTTACAAAGATTCAACTGTACTTTGCTGAAAAACCTTTGCTGAGGGTTTGCAATGACCTTACTTTAAAGGAAGAAGTCATTGGTATTATGAATAGAAATAGAAATGAAAATATAATTCATGACTGTGTGATTTATTCTTCTTTTCACTTTCTGGAGGTGACTTTTAGGAATATTTAAGAGATTGTGATTTTCCATTGTGATTAGAGTCTGTGGCAGAGAAATGCCAGATGAACTCCCACATGCTTGGTTTAAAAATAAAATTCCTTTTAAAAAATAAAGGCTGAACTTAAACACACATAAAAGACTTTTCCATATACATAGTAGAATGCAAAAGAGGATTCTCTGTGAAATTGAATATCCATTTCATAATGCTGGCTTTTAAAAAAAAAGTATACATTCTACATTTTGCTTTCAAAAGTTCTCTGTGCTTCCTTCTGAACTTCCTTCTGTATACTGCTTTGCATTTTTAAAGATGTTTCAGTACCCCTCCCCCCCTTTTTTAAAAACACATCAGTATTACTTCTATATTTTGGCTGCTTGAATTTTTTTTCCCCCCGACTCTGATGTTACTAGGTCTTTTCTGCAGATGATCTGTGAATTCTTACTATTTTTGCCCTCTGATTGTAATAGTTCTGGGCAGTTTTTTTCATTTATGGTTCTTTGAAATGTAGTGTCCCTATATATGTTTTATATAGACACACACGTTTTAAATAATGGTTTTTAGGGAGTCTAATGGTTATTAAATTTTTCTCCCTGACCTATTTTTTAGGTCAGTTTTTAATATTAGTTATCTCCAATTCTCTCTCTCTCTCTTTTTTTTTTAGTCTTCATTTTGTTCTGCTATTTTTTGATGTCTCATGGATTTATTGATTTCTGTTTGGGTTATTCTAGTTTTCAGGAAGTTTGTTACTTGGGTAGGAATGACCACTTTGTCTTCTTAACTATTCATTTTCCTTCCAGCTCTTTCCTTCAGAGATTTTATTTCATTTTTTAGCTCTTGTTTCATTTCCTTGTAGAAAATCCATTTCCTCCCTAAGTTTCTGCAGTTGTTATGGAGTTACATTATTCTCCTTTAGGGCAGTCTTTAAATTTGTAACAGTTTTTATTACTGGTTGATATCTACTTTGGTTTCCTCTTCTCCAGCTTTAGTTTCTGAATTGGAGATTTGTGCCAGAGCCCTTAGTGTACTTTTGAGTGAGTTGATCGTCCCTGCTTAGTGCAGGATCTTTTCTGCTGTCTCAGGTCAAGGTGCTAGAGACTTCACAGCCCAAGGTTGCCTTTGCAGGCAGGGTCTGAGTGCTGCTGCCCACACATCCATTGCCATTTGGCACTTCCAAGAGTACTCTGGGCTTTCTGACCACCCTTTATATTTCTTTTGAACATGTCCCTGGCAGTCTCTGATCATGGTGGGAGCCTAACTTGGATGGGCAGTCCCCCTTTCCCATTGCCTTCAGGCTTCTGACTAATTTCTTGGTTCAGAAGAAGAAGTAGGAGACACTTACATGCATTCTAAATCATAAGAACAACTCCCTATTAAAGGAACACTTTTAAAAATCTTTATCAAAAGCAAGGAGTTATTTTGTAGTGTGAATAGATACATTTTAATTTATCTTTTAAAATTTGAATTTATGCGTTAGATTTTAACAAAGTTAGTGCAATGCACAAGGTTTGAAAAAAAAGAGTATATATTTATCTTTAGATTGTAACATTAGATTAACATTTATAGATTCCTTGGAAATGACAGCAAGGGTGGATCCACTGAAGTTAAAAATCAATTTGAGCTACAAAAAGGAAAATCGCTTTTCAGTATAAAGTTTTTAATCACTGGTAGGCAATCAACCCTTGGGAGTTTGGTTTTTATGTAGTTAATAAATTACCTAACTAAAGAAACTAAAAAGATACTATTTTTATTTGAAATTAGGAATTTTTCAAAGGACTTGTACAGTGCTTGAAACATAGTTAAGTGCCTAATAAATGCTTATTGACTAGATGACTTAATATTTCATTTGAAAAGGAAATGTATTTAAACTGTTCTCTGGAGGAGAAAAATTGAAATTTATGTAACTGAAAAAATTTATGTTTACAATAGGAATAAGAAACCAGTCAATTACTCACAGTCTTTGGATTCAGACTATGATGGTAAGTGCAGCTTCATATTTCTGTATTTAGAGTTGCAAGTTGTCATTTTTCCTCAGTATTTGCAGAATATACATGCTCCATATATCTACTCCCTTGCACTGTCATTAGTTAAACCTGGCATGAAAGTTCACAAAACATTTCATCACAACATTCTTGAGAACTACATGATACAAGTATATACATACATACATACATATGTGTGTGTATATATATATATATAATAAAAACAGATTATGTATTTGCCTAAAGTCTAATTAAGTGTCCATACTGGGACATGAATCCAAATTTTCTGACTTTTAACATCAGTACTCTTTCTGCTATACCATACTACAGTCTTCAACTAGGATAATTGTTAGTTATACATTTGTCAAAATGGTTAAGTTGTATCATGGACAGAGCCACATTGTAAGTGGCTCTTTAGTTCAGTTTAGGGTAAGATACTTTGCCCAAGCCAAGTATCTTACTGTAAAGATATAAAGTGTTTTATAATTCTGAGTGATCATTTTCTCATTTACCCAGATTCAAAGTTAATAACTTGACTTGGGTAAGTATGTGGATAATCCAGCTTCTGAACTAAGTAAGGGTATGTTAAAGGCTTGCAGTGTGCTGAGCACTGTGGAATGGATCAGAGAAGAATAAGGGCTATGATCCAGGGCCTCAAAGAGCTTTTTAGTCTAGTTTAAGACATAGGACTAAAATATACTAAACACTTGAAAAAATATAAGCATTATATAATTAAGTGCTAATATTACAAGTGTTATAGGAGTTGTTCAGAAGGAAGCGGTTATCCCAGACTTGAGGACTGGCAGAATAGATTGGAAAAAGATGGGGAGATAATTAGGAAGCTGTTTCTGTGCTGAAGCAAGAGATATTAAGGCTCTGAACTAGGATTGTGGTACTAGTGGGTAAGGATACAAGAGATCTGGAAATAGGACAGATACGAGTTGGCAAGTAAACTGGATGTGAGAGGAATGGAAAAGGAAGGGTCAAAGATAAGTGAAGTTTCATTTGTGTGTGACTAAGAGGATGGTGGTTCTATTTGCTAAAATAAAATGTGATGAGGAGAAGCAAGTTTCTGGCTAAAGTTAAGATTGGTTTTAGATATATTAAATTTGAAGTACTGTAGGGATATGCAGGTTGAGAAATCTAGTAACTACAATTAGCTATGTTTGCCTAGAGTTTGGGAGAGAGGTCAAATAAGGAGACTGAGTCTAAGATCAGTATGATTTAACAGTGTGATATAAAATAGCCAAAAAAGCAAATGCAACCTTAGTATGCACTAAGAGAGGTATATTACACAAACTAGGAAGGGCATGTTAGATTTGTCCTTTGCCCTAGTTGACTTAGTCAGATTGAATCTGATTTCTTGTGTTTAGTTCTGGGCACTCACGACTTATTAGGAGATAATTAAGAGAGAAAAGGTGGAAAGTGCCCAAAGGGGAGGGCAAGGTGACCATGGTAATAATAAGTTTGCAAAGTGCTTTATGTGCATTATCTCATGTGATCCTCAACAACAACCCTGTGAGATAGATATTATTTTACAGATGAGGAAACTGAGGACGAGGAAAGTTAAGTGACTTGCCCCAATTAACATAGCCAGTAAGTGTTAGAGGTGAGATTTGACCCCAGACCTTTCTGATTACAAGATCAGCACTATACATTATACTACCCAGTGTCTCATGAGAATGAATTGCCTCAAGTGATGCCCCCATAAACTCAGTTTAAGGACCCTGGCATGTTTAACCAGGCTACAAGGAGCTGCAGGGGAGCTAGGATCCCAGCCTTCAAGTCTCTGAAGAGTAGACTTGTGGAAGAAGGCTTAGTTGTATTCTGCTTGGCTCCAGAGGGTGGAGGCCCTATGATACAGTACCTGGGGCGCCAACTCGAAATCTAAGCATCAGGATTCAGTTTACAAACCTGCCACATAGTTTTGGACCCTGGGGAGTGCTATGTGGCCTCTGTAAAACAAGGGCATTGTGCTAGGTGATTTCTAATGTCTCACATATAAATTTTTGAGCTTATGAGGTTCCTAGCAGAACTATCTAAAAGTAAAATGGGCTGACTTTGAAAGTAGTAGGTTTCCCTTCACTAGAAATCTTCAACCAAAGCCTGAATAATAATGTCTTAGTATTTGGTGAAGGGAATTCTTGTTCAGGTAGACTTTAATTTAGGGGTCCCTTTCAACCCTGAGAATCAGAGCTTCCATTAAACTTTAAGATAGCTCCTCTGTTTTTTTTTCCTCTTCATCTTATGTGAAGTTAAGAGTATGACTGTTTTTCTCTCCATAATCTAATTGTACCTGCTGTTCTTTCACATGTTAGAAACTCCCAGATGTTTTTCACACAAATTATTCTCTGGCCATATGAATAGACCTTGAGAATCTATTGTTTCAGTTAGGAAGTTGAAATAAACATTCTTTGCTGGTTGATGGTTGACTTTCAAAGTGATAGAGCCTTTTTGATACAGATCTTTATAAATGGTCGCAGTGGGTCTGCCTTGGGCTTTTGTATACCAGTATAATTGATGTTGCATAATTCCAGGTATTTGGTCTATGATAGGCTGAAGTTATATAGGTATTAGTCATGAAAAAGTTGCTGTGAACTGGGCCAATTATGACACAATGAAATTGCTTGAATAAAATCTCGAAGAATATATGCTTCAAAAGATTTGAACTTCTAAAATACCACCTTCATTATTCAACTAAGAGAACTTCATGAGTTTTCTCTTTCCTTCCCCCTAAAAAAACCACTACATACCTTAAGATGATGATGATTTTGCTCCTTGGACTGCAACTTCAAACAAAAAATCAAAAATACCAAAGGAAACAAAACGAGAAAAGCAAGAGAAACCAAAATCCAAAAATAGCCACAAAGAAGAATCTCCACTCCAAGTGAAAACACCTACTAAAAGGTAAGAGATGAGATATGAATGAAATAGTTTTGAATATGAAATAGGTTAACTGGCATGCAGTTATCTGAGGCTCTGTGTTACAGTGGATAGAGTGCTGGGCATGGAGTCAGGAAGACCTCCTTTCAAATCCTGCCTTCAGACACTTACTAGCTATATGACCTTGGGCAAGTCATTTAAACTTTCTAGCCTCACTCTTCATTTGTTGAATGAGAGGGCTAGATGTGATGGCTTCTAAGGTCCCTTCCAGTTCTAAATCTGTCATTCTAGGAAATTTTTCTTAATTTCTTTTTTTCAAAAAATTCAGAAATCCCATGATATTTCTTTAGCTTTCTTAGTTTATTGATTGCTCTATTCTCTTTCTTCAGATGTTTACCTAAATGACATTTTTCAGTTTTTTATTCTGATAATCCACTGGGAAGTATATCAGAATTTTTAAAAGAAACCTCAAAGACTGTCTTAAGTAATCTGTTCTTTAGCATCCCCATAATTAGTTATTCTCTGCTTAAAACTGCCCATTGAGGGGAAACCTACTAACTTCCTCACTTTCCACCTTTCCTCATCCTAGGTAGTTAATTGATAATGGATAGCTCAGGTTGTTTCCTTATATCAGGTCTAAATATGTCTCTTTGTAACTCCTACCCATCAACAGCTCCTAATTCCATACTCTGCGGTCAAGCAAAATAGGTTTTATCTCTTCTTTAAATAAGCCTTCAGATATTTTAAGGTAGTGGTTATATCTCTGGTAAGCCTTCTTTTTAGTTGCCTGGCTAACCTCCCCACTTTTTTCAGCCATCCCTCATATAGCATTCATTCCATTCCTCTCTTCTGGAAATGTTCTTTTTTCCTAAAATGTACCCAGGACTTCATACAGTACTCTAGATGTAACCTGATCAAGTCACGCTCTAGTAGAGCTGTTACTTCCTGGACACTGTGTCTCTCAGTAAAGTAGAGAGTAAATTCTTGGGGCTGCTATGTGACTGGCAGAGTTTGCCATCCAGTGAAACCTTCAGGTCCTTTTCACAGGCACTCTTTTCTAGCAATGCTTCCCTTATCCTGTATATTTGAAAATTGTTGAAAATCAATTGTAGAATTTCACATTTTTTTCTTTTAAGTTTTATCTTATTCTCTTCACCATGTTACAGCCAATTGAGACCTATTTGGTTCCATACCAGTATCCTTCATGTTAGGTGTACTTCTAAGCTTCATGTCAAATGCAAGTTTGAAAAGTATGCCTCTATACCTTTATCCTAGTCATTGATAAAAGTGTTGAACAGCGCAGGGACAAGATCAGACCCCGTAAGGCATTCTAAATATAGGCTTCCTTTCCAGTTTCCACCTTCTTGTTAATGACTCCCCTTTGGTAGAAGGGCAGCTAGGTGGCTCAGTGGATAGAGAAGCAGCCCTGGAGTCAGGCGGACCTGAGTTCAAATCCAGCCTCAGACACATAACACTTACTAGCTGTGTGACCCTGAGCAGGTCACTTAACCCCATTGCCTAGCAAAGAAAAAAAAAGCCTAAAAAAAACCCTCCCCTTTGGGTCCAGTCATTGATGCAGTTGCAGATCTGTGTTATTATATTATATCATATTTCTCCATCTTATCCTACAGCATTTGGTGATAGTCACATGGGATTAGTTTGGGATAATATCCTTGAAGTGGGAGGTTGTTAGGTGGACCTGGAGCACAATATCATTCACAAATTCAAACATGTCATGAAAATCCAACAATTTACTGCAGTTATCTTCAGGGCACTATTCTTAAAAGACAAGAGCATCCTCACATCTGTCTTTTGTTGCTGCAATGTTTACTCTAAACTCTGAGGAACAAATGTAGACTCCTATTATGAGTGACCCCCATTGCCAGAAGCTTCACTGGAAGTAGAGAGGCCAAGTGGGATTCACCTTCCTCTGTTTTTGTTGTTGTTGTTGGTTGTTTCTGTTGTTGTTTCTACCAGACCTATGATTTTATTTGTATAGGGAAACCCTCATAAAGAAACTGCCTCTGCAAGTACAGATTAGCACCTGCTCTGAATTATGGGCTACCCTAGGACACTGATAGATTAAGTAACTTACCTAGGGTTGCACAGCCAGTAGGAATCAGAGGCAGAACTTGAACCAAAGTCTTCTGACTCCAAGGTCAGCTCTCTACTACACCATGCTGCTTTTTAGTTTTATGTATTCAAAAAAAATTTTTTTTGATCTTTTA